TTTCCCCCTTATAAATCATATAAATAAATCATACAATACAAGGCCACAAGGAAATTATTATTATTATGCCGCTAAAAACATAACTTAAATAATTAAGTGTGTGCCATGCTTCGGCACGAATGGGTCGGCTCGACCGGAGTGATACCTCGGCCTCACAGAAAACCGACGTGAAGCAATGCTTGCGTTGTGTTTCGTAGTGTGAGTGAGGTTACCGGAGGCCCAATTACCTTCTTCTTCCCCAATCTCCCCAATCCCTGAATCCCCAACGATCCTCAAACTCCTAATCCCCAAACTCCTAATCCCCAAAAAGCCGGTGACGCACTTGTAACGCCTCTGGTGTCCATGGGCGATTGCTTACCATCAGGTGATCCGTCTGCTCGTTTACCGGCTTATGTCATAAAAAAAAACTTTACATGTGTCTTTGACAAATTCTCTGTTCTACAATAATGTCAAATTACATCGTTTAAAAACAAATTGTTCAATGACAATTATTTAGTGCAGAGTTCCACTTACCGCATATCTCTCCTTGATGGTTACCGACGATATCCTTGACTTTGTTGGCGGTGGCCTTGTCGACGTCAGGCCGTATAAAGACACAGGGCGAGCGGATGACTTCAGCGCCGAGCAACGAGGACTCGATCTCCATCATCATCTGCACGTTCAGGTCCTTACGCGAAGGATTCTGGAAAGGTGGGAGTGGGGGAGGGGACCAGAAACAAGTTTAATGTTAGATGATGATCTTACTAGAGGCGAATGAACTGTAATATCTGTACTGAACTAATTTTAATCATTTGAAAGATCTAAATAGCAACATATTATTTTTCTTAATTTATAATGTGCTATTACAATGTTAAACAACTTGAAAATAAGAATTGCAAAAACTTATCAACAAATACTAAAGAAATAAAAAATGTAACAAACAAATTTTGACAAAAATACACCCAGGTTGTATAGAAAATGACTTAAGACATGCAACAACAAACAGTAAAGGTGATCAACGACCCAGTTGTATTAGTGACATACCAGACATAATGTAAGGAGTTAAGGTTATTAATCACACAAACACACACAAGAACGTGTTATTGGAAGTGCCCGTTATTTACACACAGAGTACAACCATAGTACAACAATCCCAGAAGACTCGACAATGGCCCGAGCATGAAATGGTACAAGTATAATGGAACATTGGGAACTGCTACCTTCAAGCTAGAGAAGTTCGTCTAGTGTTACTCTATAGATCCCGTGTGTGTCATCTACGAAGACTGTGATCAATAACAACACATCACTAAATAGAAATCATCATAAACTGTGCAACATAATCAAATATTTGCTTCAACAACTAAACTTCGTAAGAAAGCCGAATCTTAAAGTACTTTACTTACGTTTTTAAAATTAAAATTAAACTAAAATATTTAGAAAACAAATACAATATCATTTAAGTTGATTTGCTTAATTATCTTTTGTACCTTTATGTTAATAGTACCCTCATTTCATTTCGTGCATTTGTGCTCGTAACTACATACATCTGACACTGATTATTATTAAGGAATAAAATCAATAAATCATACATGTCCCATATCACTATTTCAACAATATATTTATAGACTTGATAATTATAATTTTATAAGCCAGTCACGATCCCAGTGTCTTCGAATTTGTGGCATGCTATGACGGCATCTCTGTTTGACACAAACGACTAAAACGTTCACTTCTCAATGTAGACGCTACAAGACTAAACTACTGCAATCTGTCATTATTAAATAGATTTTTAACTTAAAACTTCTGTTACAAAGTCGAAAATTCATTGACGTTTGATTAGGGCACGTATTCCGGCAGTCTGTATCGCCCATAGGGTTGACGCGCCCCCTTACTTGACTGCGCGATACTAATGAGGCTATTTATAATTATAAAGTGGTAATAGATCAGATGCATGTGGTTAGAGAACAAGTGATGCATTGTTATAGAGCCGCGTGGTGCGGGGCAAGGTCTGCGGGGCGGCGGGGGCTGCGGTCTGGCGGTGAGCGAGGCGGCGTGCGGGGTAGTGCATACCTTACCGACCTGGAAGTCGAACTTGCGCCACCGCTGCTCCGACTTGAAGCGGAACATGGTGGCGAGCACCGTGCACAGGGACCCGCCTGGCTTCATGTCCATAAACACTTTCATCTAAAAACAAAAAAACAATTTAATAAGTCAAATGCCAAGGTATTAGACATAAATGGCATGTTTTGTTCGACTTGGCGAACTGAGCCCAGCCTCTAGGGAAGTCTTTATTCAGCAGAGTCTTTCGGCTAATGATATGTTTTAGAAAGCCTTAGTCAAAGCATTTTAATTCAAATAACCCATATTATGACTAGGATAACTGTTGAAGATTGCTGTTAGCATGAATCCTTACTATACAATTGTATATAACAACAAATCTATACAAATAAAAATGAATTTCCGTTCTTTAGTCTCGCTAAAACTCGAGAACGGCTGAACCGATTTGGGTAATTTTAGTTTTAAAATGATCGTGGAAAGAAAAGTTCAGGAAATGTTTAAAAGGTGAAAAAACTAATTTTGAAGCGGTACGAAGTTTACCGGGTTCGTCATATAATTCAATATTTTGTACATCAGACTACCTATGAATGACCTATCACAACCGATCAAAGTACATTCCTATGAAGGTTTACCACTGTTTACTTCCTCTAAAACAAAACGTAAGTATAGTGGCCAATAGATCAACCCACTCCAATCTGTCAAATTTATTCATTTAATTTTAGACTTTATATATAATACATTAAAGTTGAAAATGTAATAGAGAAATTTCACAGAAAAGGATAGGTTTGCCTGCTGGCCATGGTACTTAAGAAATAAACGATACTTGTAACACAACAAGTTCTTGATCACACTCCTTAGGAGCTGATACATTGTACACCATGTTTGGTAACAATTGGCAATTGATGGACAATGGGTCATTTGGCAATGCAAAATTACATTACAGTTCCGTTCAGTACCTATATATAGAATTATATATGGTAATGTATTAATTAATAAATGAAACTGTACAAATATGTTATTATGATACTTATTAATTACATATCGTCATTTTTATTCAATGTGAACAACATCAGAAAATAAACTTGCAAATTTTTATACTTGTTTTACGGTCGGACAAACTTTATAATATTTGGTTTCTTAGTCCCCAAATTCATTTGCATAACAAACTGAGTAAATCATGTAAATGTTAGTTAAACATTATTTTTATACAATTTAGTTTCAAGTGACGCATGTCTTTTTCATAAGCATATTTTTAAAAGAAATAAATGTCTTAAATCGAAAATGGACTTATACAACAGTATCGTTTTTGACGTTTCTATATAAGTATTGAATATGACTAGTTGTTAACTACCATATTACAGACATCTGATGACTGATGATGATTTCAATCTCTTTTTGACTAACCTTTGAGATATGTACCTAAATGATCGAAACGCAAACAGGTGTTGCAATCATTCGTAGGCCACGGTAACCACTTATCATCAGGTGGGCCGTGTTCTTTGCCACCGTCTTGGTCTTCGTATAAAAAACAAATGTTTAACATGAAACATTGTTAGTAAAATATGTATCAAAATAGTTAACAATTCAATTAAATTAAAGAGGTTATCTATTAGACAGAGACGAGTTTACCATCACTATCAGGTGAATTACTACTCTCATTATTAGGCTAAAGTATTTAAGTATCGCGAAATGAAGGTTTTTTTTCTACTAAATTAAATTATCTCTTAGGATAAAACAGGAATCATATTCGACGCGGACGAAGTCGCGGGCAACAGCTACATAGTTTATAATATTTCGTCAAATCGCCGTTTGACAAAACCTGAATTGATAAAGGGAGGTACTATTTTGCTTTTGGGGTCTTGAACCATTATGGAAACATTTTCGTAAACACTACAAAGGGAAATCTGGTTTCTGCAATAACAGTAGCTACAAGATTTCGTACTAACAAAGTAGGCTGTTCATTATATAACTTTGAAAGCAATAATAAAGAAAACATAGTGAAGTAAGAAGGGCAACTTGTACTTAAATGAAGGAAGTGACATTGATTAGATAACATTCAACACGACAGGATATGTCGTTCACATAGGATACTTGATATTAGTTCGCGGTACCATTAAACCTATCTAAGGCTACAGGAAATTAGAAATTAATAGCAATTATGCTCATGAAGGTGATACAGTTTCTGTAACCTAGTTTTATAATGGTAAACAGGTCAGGTGACACTTTTCTAAAACCAAATTAACAATGCAAATAGATTGTTCTTGTCTCTCGTAAAAAATGGTACACAAAATTAGTGTTTATAAATAAAAAAAGCTGAAGAAATTCCCTAAGATGGCACATAATAGTTTTACCTTGTCTAAGGTCACACTTCCGCGGAACCGCGCCTCCTGAACCGTGACACAACATTGCAGACCACGACCTTCCTAAACTAATTAACTATGCGAATCGGACGGAAACCCTAAAGAAAGTCGAACAAACAATATAACTGACATAGCAATCTTAAAAAAAAGTTTAATTAGAAAAAAATATAGGTTAATTGCCTTTTTGAGACATCCGAAAATGACACTGCGAACTTCTAGGATCGGTGTCCGCGTCAAGTTCCTATTATCGGATGAAATTCGGACCAAACGTTGGGTACCATTGTCTATAGTATTCACACTTTTAGCGGTCTCTATCTTTGGCGATACCTTGATTTTGTTACCTTTATTTCGATACTATGTTTACTTCCTAACCATAACAATAAAAAAACTCGTCATAACAATGTTATGTAAGATAATTTAATAACCATAAAAACTTAAGTGCCGATTAACAGACACACGGCACTGCATTCACTTGTTCAAGATCATCAATGACCGGTTGCGGCGGTAGTGGCACGGTGGGGCTATGAGACGCCGAGTGAATGCCGGGCGAAACGGTCGCGGACCAGTACTCAGTGACAGTGAACCAAGCCACAAACAATCACTATGATAATTAAAGAATTTATCCTCACGATATTATTTGTCAACTGTTTCGCATACAGAGCTACGACACCGCTTATTAAAAATGTAAGTAATTCAAAGTTTTTTTTTAAATTTCTAAATTAACAATTTTAGAGTGTTCTATATTTAAATAAATATTTAATTAATTTTATCTGTAGAACAACAACGGTTGTAATAGCTATGTAATTATTTAAAAAGAAAAAATATTTCTTTTTACTGTAAGTGACTTACGTGGCCTATACAGTTGGAATAATTGTAAAAATGTAGGTACTTAAAAATAATTAATATAAAAAAACGTGTCGCTGGATGTCCGCACGGAATAATAATATTTAATACGATTGCGATCCTTAAATTGTTGTTTCGAGGCTGGCTATGATGTGTATGAGAAATTAACACACATCCACGACACAGCAGACAATAATTTTATGTAACTGTGTAGTGTAAATATTTCTATAAAAAAAAATATTTTGTTTTTATCCGCTGCGACTTATTGCTAAATATTTGTGTAAAGAACTTCCCAGGACTTTCACAAATAATTTAAGACCAAAAATACCTAAATTAGTCCAGCCGTTTTCGAATTTTAGCGAGACTAACGAACGGAAATTCATATTTATTTATATAGATAGATAGATATACAGAGATATAAAGATAGAAGTAGAAGATAGATCACGAATTAACATCAGGCTGTTCTGACCTAATTGTAATATATGACTTAATTGCAGTATGATCGATTAAAATTATTATAATGAATAGATTTCGTAAACAAAAGAGCTTCCTTCTTTGAAGATGTATTGTCGTTGAAACAGTCTCATAAAAAATATACCGACGTCATACACAGAAAAAATGCATCCGTACTTATCATCAAGCTGTTGTTTTTAAACCATAATAAAAATATTGTTTTATATAATGCTTAGGAACTAATTTTATGAAACAAAAATTATAAAGTTTAAAATTTCAATCTTATTGCCCAAATTATCGTTAATTTTTTTTTATGTGAAGAAATGTGTATTTAATATACAAAATGCAATAAGTATTATAAAACTGTACTGGTAGGTGTATAAGCTTGCAAAACTACTACAGATCATGCAAGCACACTTTACTTTTAATTTTTAAATGCTGCGCTCGTATCTAAGTACCATAGTAAATTTAGCGAGTCGGTAATCCAATTAAGATCCAATCCAATTTTAATATAAGGCGTGAGGAATTAAGGAATTTAAGGTAATTGAATCAGGAATTTAAGTGTAACAAAATATTAAAATTATTATATTAAATCATACTGAAGAGGATTCTTTGGTTTAGTGGTTCCATAAAACAGGTTCGACCTCTGATTAGAATAAAACTTTATTAGATTTAAAATATTAATAGACGCTTGATGTCAATAAACTGTCCAGTATTTGATTTAATTCTATTTCTGTGACCGCATCGCTTAACCCTGCTAAACGTAGAGGCTGGTAAATTTTTGCTTCCTTTCAGGGAAGACCATTGTTTTAACAGCATATGTCTTTATACTGATGACGACGATGACACTGTCATATTTGTTTAATGTTTTTTAATTTTGATATTACAACGGAATTAATAATGAATTGATGATTAACATAGGTGCGGAGAGGTGGTACACATTTCGAGGGACCTCATTGGTCAACTGCAGAAAATGCTCTCTATTGGGTCGACATACAAGGCCAACAGGTGCATAGATTCGATGCTGAAACATCTAATATCACCTCTAAAACTATTGGTAAGTTCTCTAATCTATTTAGATAATAGAATAACATAAAAAATTATATTCTGTTTCTCTTTATTAGCATTACTATTTGTCTGTTACATCAATGGGGATGATGACAGGGTATGAAAATTAAAAATATAATTAGTCCGTAAGTTAGGTAATGAAAAAATATTAGACACGTATTTTTTTATTTTGTCGTATAATAAAACAATACTTAGATAAAACGAATCAAAGTTAAGGAGTGGGGGCTAAAACGTCATTTCTTAGTATAAAATGTACTGAGAAGTGACGTCACGCGACATTTCAAATCAATATATCTTCGAAACTATTCGTTTCTGTGAGAAAAGAAAAAATACGTGTCTAATGTTTTTAAATAATCTACCAGACGGACATTAAAATAAAAATTAGTCGTCTACCCTATTCTTAAGTTTTAAAATACGTATCACTCAGCTACGTATTTTTGTACCGGCATAAAAGATAATGTATGGACTATGGAGGCTATAGATAAAATTTCTAAATAATTATTTTCTTCCTCACCTAGGTCTGACTAATTTACATTTATAAAATAAAAATCTATTTCCAGGCTATGGACCAGTGTCACTAGTTGTAACAGTAAAGGACTATCCCAAGCTGATTTTGATATCTGTGAGGTCCGAACTTTACTTCTTACCATGGGACTCATTCGAAAATGACAGTTCCCTACGACTACTGAGCGTTGTGGACCTGGGCCTGCCAAATAACAGGTGCAACGACGGGAAAGTCGACGCCAAAGGAAGACTTTGGTTTGGTATGTAGTCTTGACATTTTATTCAAAATACCTTGATTTTTCGAGGTTAAAGGGTCTTTGGTGTCTCTTATGAAAGAAGAACAGAAAATACATAATAATAATTTGAGGAAAAGTACCATTTAAACTACAGTTACCATAAAACACTTCAATAAAGGTGGCATAAAAGTCGTAAAACAATATTTTATTAACTTCCAGGTACAATGGGCAAGGAAGTGAATAACAACGTCGACATGGACCAAGGAACATTGTATTTGATGGATGAGCACAATTATGACAACCCGATGGAAAAAGTTCGTCCCGTCACCGTGTCTAACGGCATAGCGTGGACTGCTGACAAAAAGTTCATGTTCTACATCGACTCTCCAACTAGAAACATTGACGTATTCGATTTTGATCTCGAAGAAGGATCCATTCGTAAGTGTGCATAAACAATATAGCAGGATATTTAAATAATATCTAGTATTTTAAGAACTTGTTGTTCTAAGCACCTATTATAAATCCTGTTCTAAGCTCCTATAAAAAAGAAACTTAATACTATAAATTTTAAGTATGTGGTCGACACAGTACTCCCCACAAAATGATTATGTGCAGTCTTGTTCTGTATTATATACAAAATTACTGTCTGTGAAACCCACTAAACTCGTCTTGTACTGCTGAATCGATTTTGATTCTTCTTCTTCTTCTTTTTTAAGAACGTTGCCCCACACTTAGATTTTCTCCTGTGTCGTGGGTGCGTTTACAAACATACAAGTGCACATACACATGACACCCAGACCCGAAACTACAATCTGTAGATCACACAAAAAGTTGTTCCGTGTGGGAATCGAACCCGCGAAACATTGCGTGGCAGCCGGTTGCTCAGCCACCGCGCCGTGCAGTCAGACTACAATAGATGATTTAACAGAACTTGCACAAATGTAGAGGAGCAAAAATAGACTAAAATCTGAAGTGAATAACTAGCTAACAATAACATAATTATTTTTTATTTTCAGGCAACAGACGGACACTCTTCAGTTACCAAGCCAATAATGTGACAGGTATACCAGATGGAATGACAATAGACACTGATGGTAACCTATGGGTTGCCTGCTTTAATGGATGGAAGGTAATGAGTAATCAGTATTAATTATTCACTTGATATAAATCCCCCAAAATTTGTTCATACTAAAGCAGTCTCTAAACATCGGAAATAAGGTCTATAATGGAGTTTGTGGAGAGTGGTCAATAGCGACCGCTTGGGGATTGATCAGACAGTTTACATTATATAGTTTTTGCCATAAAATGGATCTGGGTGACCCCATTATGTATCATCAAGGATAAAATAAAAAAATATTTTTGATTTTTGCGTACAATTTTTGTGATGCACATTTAAATGTAAAAAATTACTTTATTTTAAGTAAATTAAAGACTATTTATTTTTATTGCAGGTAATAAAGATTGATCCCAGAGCGGGTAAACTTTTAGAACAGCACAGGCTACCAGTTGCAAAAGTAACATCGGTGATGTGGGGAGGACATGACCTATCTACACTTTTCGTGACAACTAGCAAGGTGGGCCTGTCTCAAGCGGAGCTGAACGCACAACCTGAAGCAGGGTCCCTATTTGCAATTGAAGGAACTGGAGCTAAAGGACTGCCTGAAAATCAATTTGTTTTCGCTAATGCTGCAACTTTTTAGTGTTAATAAAATGTTATTATATCTAGTTATATTTTTACATAAGTGTTGTTTTTTTTTATTGTAATCACATATTATCACTATTGTGGACTCCTGTGTATTTTTTACTAGGTATCCGCTCGCAGTTACACAATTTTTAGCTTCTAACCTTAAAAATTGCAGAATGCTCAATACAAAGTTCCACCTTCCATTTTAGAGAAATGGGGTAAGACAAGAAGTAGCCTAATGCCTCCATGTCTTCAAATATCTACACTTAAAAAAATTGTTGCTGTGTTTTGCTGTGAAAAACGGACACATATACAGACACACACTTTCGAAATAATAATTTTAGTGTGCATTAACTACTATGATGAAATAATGTTTATGTATGATACTTTTATCAAGAGAGAAAGTATGTCAATATTGACAACAAATAGTAGCCTCTGTTCTTAATTTTACATTTTAACATTACACTGAACTAATAAAGAGCATATCATTATATTTCATTTGGACCATATTCATAAAATGTTCCTTTTGACATATTCTCTTATCCAAAGAATTTGATATGATGTCATTGACCTATACATTTTGATACAATGTGTATGCGATACAAGAGCTATGATTGTACCTTCATTTCTTGAAACAGACAATGTAATTGGGCACTAAACTACATTAAAACAGGAAGCATAGACTTTTTTAACTGCACACTTGGCACGGTAGCTAGGCAACCTGCTGCCGCATAACATGTAGTTGTTTTCTTTCGCTAATTCACGCACTAAGCAACTCTTTGTATGACCCACAAATTGTTGGTTCAGGTCTGGGTGTCATGTGAATGTGAGATTGTATGTTCATTGCGTTTATGACACAGGAGAGAATCCTAGTGTGGGGCAACATTTATAAAAAATAGAATGAGTGAGAAAAACTAAATATAACACATAACATTTTACTGAATTATTTACTTTATTACTGTAGCACTCATTTCTTGATGTTAAATACTAAATCTATATTGTTGTACTAAATAGCTGTTGCTATCAAAAGGGCTGTGGGTGTTATAACAATTTTTTGAAAGTAAACAAAATAACCTAAATATATTATTAATTATTATACACTGGAATCTAAGTAGTGAATAAGAAAGTGTTACAATAAGAATCACAAAACTCACCGGAAGCCTCAAAAATGGAGGATCAGAAGCATTTTTTCCTAATTTATTCTCTTGATACTGAATGAGCTGTATCACTAGCTGGGCCAAACCCTCTTTTGTAGGTGGATCTGTCTGCACATGCTGGAAAACAAACATTACAAAATTATAGTAGGAGTTAATTATAACGAGTAGTTAATAAATAATTTGTAAGGAGTAGTAAATCTGACAAAACCTAAGAGGAAGCAATGTTCCTACATGTTTTGACGGTACTGGTCACACAACATTGTGACTGCACACTGGAGCTGCCTGCACTATCCAAGTGGTAAACAAAAAACGCAAAAACAAACTAATAGGAATAACAATATAATACTATATGGAGTTTAATCGTTTCTATTACCTTCTTGCAATTTTTCTGTAACCAAACGCGGATTTGGTCAAATTGTGTTAGAGATTCCGGTGACTGAAAAAATTCGATATTAGGTCCTCCATCCTTCTTTGGACCTATCGTTGCCATGATGATGCACTAACTTATAATATTAGTCACAAAAATACTCAGATATCTAAAGATGTTTATTTAAAATTTGGTCTCAAACTGTAAAATTATTGCAAAGAAAACAAGCAAAGACGACACGGCGTCGCTGTTCACAATTTTGACATTAACATTTCGATGTTGCCAGCTTGTAAAAATTAAATTTCATTTAAAAACTAGCATTTTGGGCAGTAATAGATTTATTATTTAAAAAATATCTTAAAATCGCAAAATTATTAATTTTTGATGAATATAATCGAAAAATGAATCAGTATTTAGAAAAAATCTAACACATAACAGCAATACCTAGTTTTGCGTAAACCAAGCCGTAAATAACGTGATCCAGTTATCCAGACGTTGCAAGTTGCAATAATACCGATCAGTTAATAAAGTTAATAAACCACAAATAAACCAATAGTACCCATTTGAGGAAATCATTTAGTATACGCTCTTAAAGAAAAGTTTTAAATCAATACGACAATACACCGTTAACATTAGTGACACGTAATAATTCGATCCTTGCGCGGGACCACGTTCAAGTGATGTAATTGGTGCCAGTCGCAAATTTCCGCTACACCCACTTACAGCCCATTTCAGCCTGAAGACTTCTTTTATGTCAGTTTAATAATAATCTCACCTAAACGATAAACATAGCCTATTTGTGGAATGGTTTTACGCACCGTAGCTATGATCTACGCGTAGCCATACAACTTCTTTATGCTACCTACCCCAGATTTAGGGTTCATACGCACTATGCGGGTCATGTCATGTATGTCAGCCGTCCGGCTGACCGCAAGCACAATTTTATTATATACGTAATATTCATTTCTATGCGCACTACGATGCGCCTACCCGCAGACCACTCCGGTCGCTCGGAGGGCTGCGGCCCGAGTGACGGCCAGCCGGACGGTTGCTATACGCACTGTGCAGTTCAGTCTGCGGCTGCCCGCCATTGAGTGAGTGTGTGCACATGGTACGTCTGGTAAAATTGAATTCGATGCTTGCTCTCATCTCGTATTTGCAAATAAATAAGGATGCACTCAGTACTTTTCTTTGTTTTTTCTTCTTTATGTAACATGTGTAAATGTAGTAAATAGCTGAAACTTCTTACACGTCCATCTTTGAAATGGATTGACATGACCGCAAATCGAAATGGTTCTTCAACCGCACGTTGCGGTTGCGAATGCGGATGCCCGCGATCCGGCTGCCCGCTTTCGCAAACGCATCCTGCGGTCAGCGCGGCTAGCCGTAATGCGGCTACCCGCATAGTGCATATGAACCCTTAGGGTCTAAACCTGAAAAGGAGTCATTTCAATAAAATTACCTTATTAAAACATACATTTATTAGAATAGGTTAAACAAAAAAAAATGTCAAAATAAATTTGATCTAAAACTCATAAACATCATACATTGTTCCGACTTTTAAAATATATTACGGACAATAATTGGCAACTACAAGTCCATTTAAATATCTATTGTGTAATACATAATATTTACCTAATATTTAATTGACAATACAACATCTGATAACATATAGGTAGCTTCTAACATCAATATTAATAATTATTATTGTCTTGAAACATTGACCTAGGGCGTAGCTTGCAGCCAGTATTTTGGTTTAGATACAGCAAACACTAGCCTTTCTAAACGAGTTATTACAGGCTTAGCTATAAGGTTCTATTTCACACTGAAGTGAGACGCTATGTGACGATATTGGAAGACACACGTCGCCGTGAAACTGTAGCTTTTCGTGTAGAAAATACAGTTGTATTTTGTGCCGCTCTCGTCACGGTGTGAGCTGACCTTAAGACTGCAGAATATTTTGCAGCAAAGCAGAATAATTTGTTTATAAATATTACATTACATCGCTACATGCTTAATGAAACTATGTCTTTCATTTGCAAAGCAATTAATTTATATCCACCAGTATTACGTTATTGTATTTGATCTAGTCTAAACAATGGACATGTCATTTATATTTAAAAATAAATAAATTACATTTTATAAAGTAAAATATTCGTACCAATATCAAGTAGTAAGTTTTCGAGATGCAAGCGAGGATATAGCCAAATATCACTTACCTAAAAAAAAATATTCTACATAATATACACACAATTTTGTGAACGATATTGCATTCATTTGCATAGCAGTTACGACTATTTTCAGTTTTCTATACGAATTATTTTACAGGACATTTTATTCCATAAAGGTATTTGTTCAATTACTAGTAATATAATTGTTTTAATAGTAACTATAACCATCATTGTGGAGTATAACAATAATATTTTGTAACAGAGACTGAAGAGGTCTTCCACGATTACTTCTGGGTAAATGCTCTTCATGATATGAAGGTCAATTTAGTTCACACTCTTCAAATTTAACGTTCTGTTGACATTTCATAAATATCTAAAGAACTGTAATTGATAATATTATTGTCACTAAACTAATATATTTTATAACTACGGAAGTAACATATTTTATTATATGTTTTTTTCATTTTTTTACTAATTTTTTTATTTATTTTTTTATAATAACTTCGGCAATCACGTAAACATAACACAGCATAACGCCGGATGATTTTTTCCAGAGAGGCGGGCCATGTAAATGTAAACAGTTAGTTTTCATCTGTAAACAGCTAGTCCCATGTAGTAGGTGAACCTATTGTCTGAAATTCCTAAAATACACACACGCACATTAGTTTAAACATTCCGATTAAAAAATCTTTATTTTATAATTTCCGTTATATCTACCAATGACAGCAGATCAACGGGATATTGTAGTGCCTGGTTCTGTATTTAAAGAAAATATTTGTTAGAAAATAAATTAATATTATCAAGATAACTCTAAATCACAAAATACAATACGAAGAAAAAAAATGACACTCGTATGTAAAGCTGTAACATGCTTGATCCATTTCTCAAAACATGAATAAATGCGTAATGTACTTTTTAAATAATCTTCTTATAATCCCATGAGTTTGTGAACTCTGTTTGCATGTCAAACATTCATTTCCTTTCTTCATACCTTCAAATCCCCATAAAAACTAGGAGTTACTAAGGTCCAGCACTAGCTTAATCGACTTATAACATTACAACTATTTTCCAACAAATATAATTATTATTTAATAAACATTATAATTTTACAAAATTAAATAACGAATATCACAAGCTATATAAAAAACAAAATCCATAGGAACTTGGGCCCGGCCGTAGAGCATCGATTTTATTTTGCCAAGTATTGGGGAGTTTTGGGTTACTTTGCCATTTAATTCCAAATTCTAATTGACATTAGTTGTTCACTACATACATAAATTCATAGTTTAGTTGATTATATTGACTTCAAACGATATTTTTTATTATACAATGCTGTTCAAATTAACATGAATTAGCTGTCAGTGTCTTATTTTACTCTAGACATTGATATTTTTACGGGTTGGGCCGGTAAACGAGCAGACGGATCACCTGATGGTAAGCCATCGGCGTCGCCCAAGGACACCCAGAAGAGAAGAGATGTTACAAGTGCGTTTGTTAGGGATTCAGGGATTGGGGAGATTGCGGAGGGAGAGTAATTGGGCATCCGGTAACCTCACTCACTCGACGAAGCATAACGCAAGAAGGGTTGTTTCACGTCCACTGCGGTCGAGGTCGGCCCTGCCACACTTAAAGAATACTTAAAAAAAGATTACAACACTTGCAACACTCGCTTTGTTACGCCTTGCATGTGAGGTTATCGGAGCCCCAATGCTCCGATCTTAACTCCCAAAAATTATGGAAAGTGTCTGTGGGGGGCAACGATTGCTTACCACCAGGTGATCTGTCTGCTCGTTTTGCCGATGTGTCACATAAAAAACAGTTTATAATTGAAATTACGACGACACGGTCACACGGTGATTTTGGATACATGTATTTGATTATCTGATTCGAGTACAGGCTAGGCCCAAAAATAGGTTTTGTCTTTCATTACTAAAAGATAACTGGTTAACATACATCATGGTTGTTTGTTATAATAATATTTTATAAGAGCTTCCCTCGTGTTCTTGCATTTGGGTACAATTCACATTCCAAGGCATCCAAAAAAATTTTTGAATAAATTAAGGTTAGCTTAGTTGTACATATGTTCTATAGCAAGTATTATGAATATGGAGCAAGACTTAAAATTATGTAAGAATACAAGTTTCAAATGTCATGTTACGATTATGTCTCATGGGACAACAGTGATCTGTAAGCATATAGTATTACTAGCAGTTTAACACACAAACATGATGAATAGATGAGATTAACTAAATAATATATTTGAGGTAAATCTTACAGAACATGATCATGTTATAAATAGCACAGAAATTCTCTAATATCATTATTAATACATTAACTGCCTGTTTCATCCCCTATGTGCCAGATGAATAACTAATCAATTAACGAATTCAGGACGTTGTATATGAGCTATCTGTCACAAAAATTTATCGGATACTTATATGAAGTGAAACAGGCGCTTAGAGATTAGTACATTATCTTATTAACAAAAAATTTAACGAATGCATAGAAATAAATATACACAAACAAAAAGATAAAATTCTTAAACAAATGTCGTAAAGTTGTATACAAATAAATAAGTATTGTAAAGTGAAATGGAAATAAAATTCATCTATGAACAGACATAAAGTTCGGAAGTGCGTTCAGACAGATTTGCTGCGATTGTACCCTAGCAAGTACTCCGCGATGCCGAGGTAGTAGACCGTCTGCGCGATACCGAACAGAGGAGCGATTACGATCATACGGCAAGCGCCGCCCTTGAAGAACGCAGTCGGACCCTCGTGCCGCAGCGTGGACCTGTGAGAACAGTGCACGCCTCAGTAACTTACTACATTCATTCACATATACACCGAGTGCAGTCTCACCAACATTATTCAAGGAAAATGAGAACTTACGTAATGCAATCCACGATCCCCGAATATTGCCGTTCGCCGCTGCCTTTAGTGAGTGTTTGCATGCGGGTCTTAACCACGTCCATGGGATTGACGGCCAAAGCCGCGCCAGATCCCGCCATACAGCCCGAAAGGAACGACCACCTAGGATTTGACAGAAGCTGTTTTAAAATCATGTTATGTTTCTAATTAAAAATAACGGCTATTTGTAATTTACTAATATAATAATAATAGAAAGTGTTTTGGAAAAATTTATAAAGTAAACTGGTTCACAGCTGACTGTAAGGACTATTATGTACTACAAAAAGTGATCTAAACAATTTATATTATACCAATTAGATAGTTGTTATACTGACCAGAATGGTGGTGTTAAGTCTTGTGGGTTCCGAATACCCAGTTTGCTTAGGATTGCGAATGAAGGGAAGTAGACTACACTGAAGGAGATGTCTCGAGCCGCTGTCGCCGTGACGCCCTTGTACAACCCCAAAATACCTTTTTCAGCCACTAATTTTCTGGTTAGTTCCCAGGCTGTGACACGCTTACCCACTTTACCGCCCGCTGAAAAAAAAAAACATTTCTGTTCTATAGCTGAACCTGAACTCGATCACCTTTTTATTCCTTAATTTTTTTCAATTTGATAAATCAAAACAACTTAACAAATCCTTAGAGTTCTACAGACTATTTGTTCAACAATAATAATTTACAAACCGGCTTTGATTTGTGCTGCAACTCGACCAGCGTCCTGCATTTGGATTTTTAAGAGCTCCATAGGCGTGGTGATGATAATCTGACACGCCCCAGCTGAACCACCAGCAAGCATTTGATTTGGGATCGGTATGGTTCTAAATCGCACAACAAAAAAAAACGATTAATTTTTTTGACACAACTGAAATACACGACAAAATAAACTAAGTATGAGTATACTTAAAAATATGAAACAAATTCGGCAGGCAGGCCGGCAGGCAGGAGTACGAGATACCTATGATGTTGTACGCGCAAGTTATTTTTGACACTTTTATATTGCGCTTTATTTGTCACCTACGTCTCTTTAACGGAATGCCAAAACAAACTCATAAGTAAATATAATTGTCGGCTATTTATGTTATGAGTCCCATGTAATAGGGGTGAGCCTATTGCCATATACCGGATTCCAGATTCCACCATTCCAGACTCAGTGCTAGTACTGAGATTTTTTTTTTAAACTCAGTAGTACGTTGCCCGACCCAGGAATAGAACCCGAGACCCCTTGCCCGGCAGTCGCACTTGCGACCACTCGGCCAAGGCGGCAGTCATCCCAGGAGATAGAAGATAGAATATGAATGAACCATCATCATCATCATAATGATCGTTCATTCGTATTCTATCGGACACCAGCAAAATTGTCTAAAGACTTACCCATCTGGCTTGGACAAATGGAAGCGGAAAAAGTCATTAGCAGCCAGTTTAATAGCTTTCTCTGGAGTGATCAGCAGGATATTGACACCAGACCCTCGGTACATGCCGAAATAGCCTTCTGCTCGGTATGTCTGCTTGAAGCAATCTAACCTGGAAAGTGACGGAAATGCAAACAGTTATAATTTAATATAACTTCATTCTACTACGCTATCACTACCAGACAGATTTTCAACTTACATGTTTTTATATTGCCTCTCTCCATTTGGACCGATCGTTTGATTCTGAAGTCTTGTCTTTACTAAATCCAATGGAAACACTATGGAGACACCCACAATACCCGCGATACCGCCATTGATAATTTTTGGAATTAAACTGAAAATAGAAAAAGGCAGAATATAATTTATTTTCATTGCAATGTAATAAAATGTGTTCCTACTTTGAAAATAATTTCAAATTCAAATTAATTTATTAATTGTAAACATTGATTGAAGCAATGATTTGGATTGATTATTTATTATTAGATACTTAATGTCATTAGAATTATTATTTATTATGTCACATAGGATTATAAATTTGAATGTCAATAGTCAAATAAAACATGATAACCATTATTAAATAATAGAATGTTCAATAAAACTTTACATAAAAAAAACATCACCTTTTGTCTTCTAAGTATTCAGTAACACTACATGCATTAGAAATTAAAACCCTTTTTATTCTACTTTTAAAAACCTTCAAAGATTGAATGGTTGTATAATCTTGGCGCCATACAAAAACACTACTATTAAAAAATGTATTATTACTCGGGAAACATGTGTGATTGTTAAAGCGTTTACTTTTCATTTTTTCAAACTGATTAATATTTTTTTTGTAAATACCTAAACTTCATACATGTAGATACATGGTACCGTCAAAATATTTAAATTAATAAAGTAGCTACGGTTTACAACTGTCGGTTCGGCTAAGTTTGGAAATAGCCCTAACGCACCTCTTTTGAGATATGAATATCATTTCTTTGTAAGTTGAGTTGCCCCAGAAAATTACCCCATACCGAAGAAAAGAAACAACGTGTCCGTGGTATGCAGTTATAAGTGTTCCGGCATTAGCAACTTTAGAGAGCTTGAACAGTCCATACGAGAACTGATTAATTTTGGAGCTCATAGGAGCTCCAACAAATAAGTCCAACAAACAAGCTCAACAAATAATTCACTATGAGATCCCCACTTTAATTTGCTCTCTACATGCAGTCCTTGAAAGGAGAACGGCAGATTTTGTACCGCTTCGCTAAAAAAAGATATGTCATTAAAAAATTGGGTCATTATAGAACCTCCTAAGTACGTTATGTTAGCATATTTAATAGATTTTTAAAACTTGGGAAACCCTAGAAAAACTGATATTCAATAATGATAAAAAGCAATCCACTATACGTAAAACGAACCGCGATTGACGTTTACAAAGTTGCCATGCGTAAAGATGAAATCAGAGCATATTGAATTTCGCTATTTCATAAACTCATTTATTTTAATATCTATCAATGAAATATTTTCCTTTCCATTTCAAACATTTTTATAAGTAAATATAAAAATCTACATCCAATCTAAATCTACGTTTACATGGATTATTAATGATAATTAACATTTTAACAAACTTGAATATTATGGCAATGTTGAACTGGCATTTGTCTTGATGACATTGACAATTAATTTGTCAATACTGGCGCATTGCTGTTTGTTTCAAATGCGATGTTATGATGTGTTTGTTGAATTTGAAGTTATTTTATTCATCTGGTGATACGTTGAGTTTGGCAACCGTTCCTCCGTAGCCGAAATTGGTATTATTGGCATCATTGTTGTGACAATTGCGAAAAGACACTTATTTACATTATTTTAGGCATAGTGTGTTGTAATTTGTCGCGATGATGAATTTACAGTGCATTAATTGCATCAGAGTTTGTCGCACATGAGACGGCATGCTCTAGGAAATGAGAGTGAAGATTAGACGTGGTCAACAATATCCCATTGTGGACTTATCCTAGAGATGTAAGTACCTAGTTTACCCATAACATATCGAAAGTCACCATGTTGCCTGAATAAAAGAAGGCGCATAGTGTTATCTACCCATAATGTATCATTTTATTCTTTTTATTCTAGATCTCTCCTACCGACCATATTTGCAATGCTTGCTGGCAATTAGCAATGTATCGGGATGTTGCTGAAAGTATGTCCAGCAAACAAATTGGTCACTGGCATGTTTGTGTCGTATATGGGTGATTCATTGCAATGATAAGGTGACGCAGGGTTTTAATTGAAGGCGCCAACAAACAGGAGTAAAGACTGGCTCATATAGTATTTGATTGGATTCAGCCACAAGAGGTAATAAAGCATAATTTAACCATACTATTATCTATATACAGTGTAATCTAAAGTCAATATCATATTCTAATAATATTACTTATTTTAGCTTACTTCCCATGATGAAGATCATGTTCCATACTGACTGAGAGACCGTACAAGAGTCGAAACTATAAAACCACAACCTGACATACCACCTCACAGTGTTCACTATCAGGAAGTAATGTATTATGTAAACATGGACTAAGCCTCACTTTAACATTGCCATTTGTAGAACAGATGAGGCCGGATGATGTTGTTCGGCTCTCAAAGCTTCAACAGGTATGCATTCTCAATATAATGTACCTACATAATTATGTATCTATGTGGAGTATATAAGCGGTTTCTAATAGGTTTATACTCATGTTATAATTATAATTTATTAATTAGCATGCTGTTTGAGCTCCTATGATCTGTGTTATACGAATAACTATAATAAATGTTATAAAATGAAGTAATGTAATCAAATATTTATTTTTATCTTTTCCATTTTAAGATAGGGAATCAGACTTATTATTATAACATATAAAACTAAAGGAAAAAAATGTACTTTTGTTTACTTTATTTACAGTTATCTTACTTGTTTACAGATATCAGCAATTGATGTCTGCTGTACCTATGACACGGCCTGTTCTCTTTTTAGATGAAGTACTCCTAGAAACAACCTGAATACAATGAAATAAAAGTATTTCAAAATAATACATTTGTTTTATTTTAACCTAGTAAGTAACTATATATTCCATCTTGATAAAAGTGATTTTAAGAATCAATCTATAAAATAAATGCCATATTTAATTTAGATAGCTTTAGTTTTATACCAAAAATGTTCATTTTCATTTTACATTTTCTTTAGTTGTAATGTGGTGGCCCAGAGGTTTAAGAAGCCCGCTTCTCATGCATGAGAGTGCGGGTTCGAAACCTACCAACGGCAAAGTACCTTTTGTCCAATGTGTCTTTTTTCCGAGTTATTGGTATATTCAATAATCTAAGAAAGTACCAAGACACCGCTGACGAATGGTGAATGAAAACATTGTGAGGAAACATGGGCTTATAATTTCTTATTATAAGTTTGAATTACCAACCCACATTGAGCTAGTATGGTGATTAATGCTCAAACCTCCAGCAGTGGCCACTTATAGACTTAATGATGAAAATGTTGATGATTCTACTAATTTGACTTACTTATTAGAAATTAATCCTTACATGCGTGCTAAGCAACCAGTTTTCAGAAGAAATACTTTCTCAAAGAGCTAAGCTAAGTTTAAATCGAATTAACTTGAGACCCTTGAGACTATCTACCTGCAAGATTCAAGGTGAAGTGAGACATTAGTTTTATCATATCCGCCACAAGACTTCCACTGCTAAATGTAGGCCTTCTACCCAATGACAGTCGCTTACATTATGAATTTGCATTTTCGTAGGCACCTAAGAAATGAAAAAGATTGTGAGGCATACTCTTTAAAACTCTATAGGTGCATCATGCTTGCTGAATTAACAGGATCATTCCTAATTGCCTTTTGCGCTGCGACGCACCATAGGTTATTTTTTGGGTTTCTAAATTCTTGTTGTGTGTCGTAGCAAAATAAATGGTTTTTCTTTCTTTCTAATAATACAAAGTGTAATAGTCACTTGAGTAGCGAGCAGTATTTTTAGATTATTGTTTTTTGTAAATAAACAACCACATGAGAGCACATTGACATTTTTCAGTTAACTGTCATCTGTCATTTGTAATAGATATTTTGCTTACGGTGGCTCTACACTTGACGTTGCGTATTTGTTGTGTTCGGCCAAAAAAAACATGTTTGGAGGATTTATTCTTCTTTGTTTGCTATATATTTGCACGCCATTACATATAGAGATACTATTTGGACGCCATTTGTACGTAGTCTACAAATATTTGGACAAATGAAGCGACTACGCATTGTCAAGTGTGGTACCACCTTAACATACCTTTTGCACATTTTCAAAATGAAATAACTTTTGAACCCCAAGTTCTAAAAATATGTAATTTTTTTCTAAACTTCATAATAAAAATATCTATCGTTCAGACTATTCACTTGGTTAAAACAATGACTAATACAAAATTTTATAGCGGTACAAAACTTCCATACAAACCTGCCATTCTCCTTTTGTGCACTGTACCTCTAGTATTTTAGAATCGTAGACGTGATGGTTCTTTAACTTGCAAACGTATATTAAAAACAGATAGCATTTCTTTTAATCTATCGGTACTCATTGACGGTCTCAAAACATTAATATTGAAGTCACCACAAATTATTATTTTATTTTTCTTGTAGGATAAAGTGAGTAATATTTCTAGTGATTTTTTATGGCATAAGCCGGTAAACGAGCAGACGGATCACCTGATGGTAAGCAATCGGCGTCGCCCCTGGCCCTGACACCTGGAACACCAGAGGCGTTACAAGTGCGTCACCGGCTTTTTGCGGATTAGGAGTTTGAGGATCGTTGGGGATTCAGGGATTGGGGAGATTGTGGGAGGGGAAGGTAATCGGCCCTCCGGTAACCTCACTCACACGACGAAACACAACGCAAGCGTTGCTTCAGGTCGGTTTTCTGTGAGGCCGTAGTATCACTCCGGTCGAGCCGGCCCATTCGTGCCGAAGCATGGCTCTCCCACACTTAAAAAAGTGTGTTGTGTGTGTGTAAAAGTGTGTGTTAGTGTTTTGAAAAATGTGTCTAAGTCGGGATTACTACATTTAAGAGGACGATAAATGCACAGTATATAAATCCCATGATTCAACAACTCAACATCAGAGCATTCTATAATAACTTCTTTGGAATACTTTTTAATGTCAGAAATTTCTTTAAATCTATGTATTTTTCGCACTAAGATACATTATTAAATTCCAATTTGAACAATGCATTTAAGAAATCAACGAAACATTAATATTGCTATATTGCTATGGCGCCCGATACACGATAGTCTTTGTTATCAGTTTATTCGCATTCAATATTTAGATTGACCGTACGATCCTACCGTGTAATGGAATTATTAATTAACGCTGGCAGGATGGTGATGCTTTAGATAATTTCAATGTAAGACTGCACGGTTGGTGCGGTGGCTGGGCAACCGGCTGCCGTGCAACGTGTCGCGGGTTCGATTCCCGCACGAAACAACACTTTGTGTGATCCACAAATTGTTGTTCCGGGTCTGGGTGTCATGTGTATGTGAATTTGTATGTTTGTAAACGCACCCACGACACAGGAGAAAATCCTAGTGTGGGGCAACGTTTAAATTAAAAAAAAAAAAAAAAAAAAAAAAAATTTCATCAATTCTTAATTCGTGTAAAATATGTTATCAATTTACGAATATATTTATCAATATTGGCAGTGTATCTTAAAATCATATTGAATCAGATTGCATATCTGATATATCAGATTTATCTAAAAATATGGCCTTGGAGTCTCATAACGTCGCTCGTCGTATTCGTAGATCAAAATGACACATGATTGAATTAAATACAAATCTAGACCCGGGCTGGCTGCTAAGAATCTGAAGAGACGAGGGAGGACTAAACTCAACTACATAACATTAACGACTTTGTTTTAAATTTTTAAGGTCATGGCATGGTAACGGCCATGGCACGGCTGCGGCACGGCATTTTTTGCTTTGGAAATGGCAATGGCAGTTTATTGACGGCTTTAATTGTGATCCTAACAAAATAATAAACAATGTATTACTCTGTCTCCAAAATTTGACTTTGAAAATGTTTGTTTGTAATAACCTGCTCTGTCTGTAATAAATAAGTGTAAGAGAGCCATGCTTCGGCACGTACAGAAAACCGTCGTGTGAGTGAGGTTACCGGAGGTTGCCCAAATACCCCCCTCCCTAGACTCCCCAGTCTCCACAATCCTCCAATTCCCAATTCCCAAAAGGCCGGTAACGCACTTGTAAAGCCTTGGTGTTTCAGGTGTCCAAGGGCGGCGCCGATTGCTTACCATCAAGTGATCTGCTTGCTTGTTTACATAGATATACCATACAAAAAAACCTAAATACCAGATCTTACATAATATGTAAGTTATAAACATCTAATTCAAGACTATCTAAGTATTTACAAGTAAACATTTCAGATTGACTGGACTGGACATAATTAACATAGAGACCGGCTCTGTTACAATATTGTATTCAATTTGAAGGTCGCTTCATATGTGAGAATAAAAGAACAACATTACAATTATCTAGAACTAAACAACATAATACTATGTTAAAGTATGCATATAATATTTTTGTTACTACACCTAAATAAAATCAATAAATTAAAAACTATAGGTAGTTAAAAAAATTCGATAACATTTGTAATTTACAATAAGTAACAATCGTAAGTAGTAAATTACTGAAATAACTAAAACGAAATCATTTTGAAGATATTGTGAACATTCGTTTTTGAATACCTAAATGCGAATTGTTTTGTAACTCATTAGATGTTATTAAATTATGTTAAACAAGATGAAGATCTTTATTTATTTATTTATAGGACCACAAGAATATATTTGTAACTATGTATTTTCTTTCTTCTTACTCTAACTCTAAAAATATAATATACTAGCTGTTCCGACCGACTTCGTCCGCGTATGATAACGATTTCTGACAAATTTTGGATTTTTTAATTAGTCTTCTCCAGGGGTAATTCCAACGGTATGGAACAAATCTCATTAGCACCGATTCAGTTATATTTATTGTGAAAAGTTGTTCACTTTAGTGATTTAAAAAAATAAACAATCCTACATGTATTTTCCCCGTATGGTATCAATTCCCGTGAGGTTTCAGTGATTAAAACTCCATTTGAATTCCAATCAAATAGGTACAGTGGTTGAAAATTATCAGGCGTCATTCTCGAGTCTCAAACTATCGTTGTGCCGAATTGCACTCAAATAGTCTCAGTGGTTTAAGCAATAGAGAATCCCGCAATTTTAACGCATTGTTCCTGTCCCGTGAGGTTTCCTTTCCAGTGCCAGTGTCTCAAACTCTCGTTGAACCGAATTTCAATCGTTTCAATCAACAAATAGGTTCAGTGGTTAATAAAATTAGTATTCAGCCTCTTTTCCTACCTTGATGCTATATTATGATAATAAAAAAATAAATTGTCAATGATCCATTGGCATGAAACTCACTTGTCAAAAATATGGCAGATAACATAGAAACTTATTATTATTAAACTTAATATTATAAATTTGTTTACGTCTGTTTGTTATGTTAGAAATTGACGTGATTTTTTTATTGCGTGGAAATAATAGAAAGGATTGAGAGTAGCATAGGCGACATTTTGTTTCTTTCTAACCCACCACTTCCCTAAAACAGCATTTCGTAATTTTCAAGAAACCTAAAATTAGGATCATTTTGTGAGCAGCAAAACATCGGGCACCAATTCTTTTTTATCTTTTATAAACCTGCCTTCAATACTTTAAAAGTGCGCGATCGAAAACGTGGGTAGAAGCTAGGCCACGAATAAAATGCATTCAGTTCATTGAATTCGTATTTTTTCTTTAAAATCTCTGATTCTGATGCATCTAAATATCATTATTAGTCCTTGAAAACAGTTTTCTGTTGGCAGTCAAAGGCTTAAGCAATACAAAGAGTTTTAAGTATTTCGGGAAGCATTTTCACAAATCAGGTTAGATTATCTAAATTTTCATACCCTTTTTCCTCTCTTAATAATTATAGCCTATGTTTATCGTCGATAAAGTACGATTTCAATGATAAAAGAATTTTTCAAATCGGCCCAGTAATTTCGGAGGAGATAACATTCAAACAAACAAAAAATCAAATCTACTAGTAGTGTAGACAAATATAATACTAGTTACAAATTAAAGTTATAATTATGTGTTATGAACTACTACAGAAATAGGTATAAGAAATTAAAATAACAAACACATAATTATACTGAAAAGTGTGATGTCTTGTCCAGATAATCTTAATTGAAATATCACTTACTTGAACGACTGAGCAGGTGGTGGAGGACCTTTTGGCGCTGCCATTTTGATTTTTAAGGCTGTAAAATAAAATTAGCTTGAGTAAAATCCCACAATATTTGTCACCAGACCAGGTTTGTACTTTATTAAGTTAATGGATAGATAACCAACTGGCATTGTTTAAGGGGAGAAAAGCAGTCAATGACTGCTCTCGCTTTAGGTGAAGCGAGAGGGAGTGTCAGACTTCTACTGACTAATTACCATCCCATTCCTACTCCTACTTCGAGCCGGCAACCCATTACGACTTCCGCTATATATACCTATATGAAATTAATATAATAAGTAGTACATTGTAATCCTATCAAAACAGCTGTACAAAATTTCAACACTTAACTATTGATTTTAGTACATAGGAGTAGGTTAATCTACTTGCATATGTACTCTATTAATATCATAAGAAACAAATGATTATACCGATCACAGTCGGTCTACTCGCCCAAAAAATCAATATTACTGAAGAAATACCCAATGTTGACGAAGATTGAAGTAATGACAGATAGCCTTTCACACGACCTTTCTGACCCAGGACTGCTTCTAAACCATATTGTTTGAACATGTATTACTACACCAATTTGGTATTAATATTGTCTCACAAGTAACCGACTCGGATTCCGATCAATAGCGGCTTTTTACGTAATCAGAATAAAATTTGTCTTACCTTTTACAGTTTTTTTTATAAATTAAAAATTATATTACTTTACTTTTTTCTCATAATATACACGTATAATTTTAGTATTTTATTTCCAAATTTTTGTTGAAATTACGTTTATATTGTGGCTTTGCACTGATCGTGCTTTTGCCACAATTGTGTCAGTGTGTATAATGCTAATTGTGACTTTTGACGTTTATTTTGGCATTTGGCCAGTGTTACCAACTGCTAGATTTACTCGTTAGCTACTTTTTTTTAAGAAATCAGATTGCCAGTCCTTTTTAACCTAAAAAGTTGCTATATAGAAGCAGCCGAAATTCGTTCATAATTTTCCACTCGAATGACTCGGGTACGTATTTTTGTTAGATAATACCTAATAAATCTATGATTTCTGTGTGTTCTTTTCTTAATTATTTTTTATTGGTTATACTTTACTATGCTGACTATGAGACATACTTGTATATCGAGGTGTGTCGTCGCATACCGATTATAGATAGGTATAGTACTACCAAGTACATACTACTGTCTAGTTTTAATATAAATAATCCTCCGGCCCCGAATGAGGCGGGAGTCTCAGGTTCTTATTAACTAAGAACCACCCATTCTAACTCCTGCTTCGTGCTGGGATCGCGGTACCTATATGGCAACTTACAAGCAAACCCTGGGTTAATGACCTTACAATGGGCCCCATCTGTAGGCAATGATCTTACGGCTGTTTTGAGGGTTCAGTACCACTACCCTCAGTATGAGTTACCAAACGAAAGCAGTTGTATTTCTAAATCAATACGTTTAAATGTCCAGTAGCAAAAAAAATTAGCCCCTTTGCCATACGTCCCGGTATGCGAAAGCCTCAAATACCATTTCGGCTGCACCTTTAAGATAATTTAATTCATATTTTAGATATGTATCTGTTACAAATTGGATAGGTATGTCCTTATTTCGTACGGGGCTGACATATTCTTGAACAAAAAGTTTCTAAGAAGGCTAGTTATATATAGTACATATTGCACATAATAAAGCGACAGGTTTCCCAGTTAATAGTTTATTCGTAAAAGTAACACGAAGCTTTCATTGGATGCTAATCCGTACTCTGTGTCAGTAATCCTCGGTAATTAAAGACGACTCGTGAATCTCGATTAGCGAATTTTGCGAAAGTAGGTACATGTCATAATGTAGGATGAGCATCCATGACAAAGCATATACGTACCTAACCTAATAACTAAGAAATATTAAAACAAAGTAACAAAAAGTAAAGTAAATAATTAAAGTTAAATAAAAGTAAACAATAGAAAATTTGTAAAACTATTTATATCAAGGAATAATAATTAAATAAACTAAAACAGCAAAATCATTTATCCTGCATTCGTTAAAAGAGCCATATCCAACAATCATTATCCCATTAGCGCACTCCATAAAAACAAAAAATAAGTTAACAATAAAGTAAATAGTAAAAATAAAAATTAAAGTTAAGTAAACAATAGCAAATTTGTAAACGTATAATAAACCTGCGGAGCACCTTGAGGGTTCACAACAGCCACAGCTCACAAGAAACCTCGAGGCGAGATGTCGGGAATAAGACACTTTATCATTTTACTTCCCTTGGGAGATATCCCAAAAATATGTATAGCTCATCAACCTATATCCTTCTAAATACATACCTAACGCCTAACCTGATATATAAGGAACTGCACATGGTGGTTTTAAGAACCGCACTATTTTAGATGGGAGTCAACATTATTGTAGGTTCACCATCAAACATAACATAGGTAATAATATTATGTTATAAGGCTAATTATTTTATATAATATAACACATGTTGTATAATGGGCGACAGTTGTATAAGTAAGCAAAAATACATAATTATAATATTTATAAATGGCGTAGTCCGTACCTAAATGTAGGTAGGCAGTAAAAATAGGAGCAACTAGTAGTAGCAGTAGTTAAGGTTGAAAATTCATGAATTACAATTTAATGTAATGTAGTTGCTCCTATAGTGGTGGTGACCAGTACATTTATATTAAAACCTACTTTGTTTAGTTTACTCGGTTAAGCAATTAACTGAGTTTAATTAGCATAGGCTTAGAAGCATTCGTATTAAGCGTTTACTGTACGTACTTTTCAGTATAAAATGCGAGTATGTAGCAGTTTGTTTCTTTCAACTCAGTCTTTATTATGTAAGTTAGGCAATTATTTCGATGGTTTTTAGCATGGTTGTTATTAACCAATCTCGTTTGTTCCACCCAAGTTTCAAATCTACAATCTGTAGTTATTGGTGGATTCCATTGGCATACGAGAAGTTAACTCCACCTTTTGCATAACATTTTTAATTCTCCTAAGATAATGGTTTGCGTTTGTTTTCCATTTTCTTAAGAACAAACCTTTTTTTTAGCAACTCACTGAGCTATGTTTTAGATACATCGATAGTATCAGTGTCAGATGTCCCTCCCGAAAACAAAACCATCCACGTAGGTATAGTTATTTAAGATATTTCTAGCTTTCGGGTACGCATCTGTTTTATCTTCAGCGAGTTTACCTTTTTTAGCATATTATTGTCTTTGGTTTATGTTGAGTGCGCAATGTGCGCATGGCGAGATAAAATGTACTTTTTATTTCATAAATTACGGTGGTCAGCCGCCAATCTTGTAGAGCTTCGTTAAGGGAAGTTCTCCAGATTATGTAGATGTTACTGGTTTTATTTCAATCAGATGAATCAATAAAGATTTTCTACATCTGCTTATGCAACAAGGACGTAGCGATACGTTCTGCGTTTGAGTAATAGTGACAATACATCTTTTGTAGCTTCAAACCGCAGTATATGTGATCATTAAAACTGCCGTCTCCTTTTATCTTGTATGCCACGCTGAACACTATCCTTACTTTTATTTTGTGGTGCATTGTCCGTTTTCAAGCTCACTTGGGAGCTTTGGTCAAGCAAATCTCTCAAATTGATTGTATTGAGTTCCAAAAGTAAGTACCGCAGTTAACAACATAATTTTTTTTGGATTGTTATGGTGCTGACTCCCTTATGGAATCGAAGCAGACAACCGAGGTTTCCACCTTCGTTATTTGTTTAGTGTTTGGTAGTCCAGTTTCAGGTTAGTGCATATAATGTGGTGAGTCATAGGACACAATTGCTTCACATTGTCCATCATCATCATCATCATCATCATTTGTATCATCGTTTCTGCAAATATGGTCCCTATGCAGGTTACGAATTGTTGCCTCATTTCGGTTATCATTCATTTCATTTTACTTTTCATACACAACATAATTACTCCTTTTTGGTTCATCATGGTCGGCTGTAGGTAAATGTTACATACATGTGTAATGTGCACCAGATTGTATAGGTAGTAATATGCTTTTTTATTGTGAGTTTTTGAAAAAAAAAACGTTGTCTATAATAATACTAGAACACTTCTTTTGCAGAAGTAACATCATTCAGGAGGTTCATTGCAGAATACGGATTGGTTGATCTGTCTAAAAAAACCTATTTGCATCTTTTGAAAATATGTATACCTAAATAACTTAAAGGCAAGAAGATACCTATAGGAAAACATATTTAATGATAGCATCCTACTAGGGCTACCATTAATAATATATGTAGGTACTGGGCCATTACGTGATCTGTATGTTCCTACTGTGTGTGGCTCTTGGCACCCTCAATATTCGGCGCTTGGCTGCACCATACCCTTAGCACTGTTGGTTAAACCACCCCTGGAAGTGAAACTGTAGTATAAGTAAATATACTTAAAATACGAAGATTCTTATACAAATATTGAAAAACGATACTAGTGTAAGAACCACTTCATCAGTGAGCTTTTCAATCTAGAGCTTTTCATTTGATGAATGTTCAGACGAATTTCTCCATATTGTAGCCTAGTAATCTTTCCGCAATGCCGAGGTAGTAGACCGTCTGCACGATACCGTACAGTGGTGCGAGCACAATCATACGGCACAATCCACCCTTGAATAAAGCTGTTATGCCCTCGTTCCGGATCGTGGACCTGCGACAGCAAAAAAGTATATAGTAGGTAAGTACTATGTAAACGTTGCATCCAAATGAATGGAACAATGAAAACAAGAACTTACGTAATGCAATCCACAACCCCCGAATATTGCCGTTCGCCAGTGCCTTTGGTATTGTTTGCATGCGAGTTTTAATTACATCTGCTGGAGTGACGGCTACAGCTGATGTAGATCCCGCAACATAGCCCGAAATGAACGACCACCTGTGGTTAACAACAGAACTCTATTTAATAATAATAATAGGCTCTTGCAGGGCGCCTTCAGGCTAGGTGACAGGCACCCCCGTGGCTACCATCATCCCGAGTGCTCCAGGTAGAAGTCGCCGTTCCTCAGTCTCCGGCTTGCCTTAATAGGCTGGTTGGAGAGAAAGATGACGCGGAACAGACCTCCAACATCTGGCTTGCCTTTATTGGCTTGGCCGTAGTGAATACTATTATTAAGCAGTGAGTGGGCCTGTGATGCAGGATGATTCGGCAGGTATAGATGATCAAAAAACTGGTGGTAATATTTTCATCTATCAATCCCTTACATTTCCGTTGTCCCTTGTTGCCATTTCTAGAAACTATTCCTGGGGTCCCGGTCGGTGAGTTGCGAGTCTCCGCCTGTTATTTTTACGTGTTGTTTTCATTGTTTCGGCAGGTGCCATGATCATCTCACAGTTTCCAATTTACCAGTCCATAGAAAATAGAAATCCAACCAAAGCTTTACCTGTTCTTGCCATTTTCTAATAGTTCTGGTGTCTTTGGGTGAATTTTCATAATGCATGCACCGGTCACCGGTCCCATTACCTTTAAAGTTTTCTAAAGGGCTTCGGACTCAGTTGACTTTGGCCCCTCGTACACCTCCCAAATTATCGTAGTCTGATTAGCCCCGTGATTGGTAAAGACATACATAATAATAGAATAAGCAAATACCTACCTAATATTAGTTACATTTTTACTGTACTTGCCAGAAAGGTGGTGTTATTTCGTCTGGCTTCTGTCCCCACTTGCTGAGGATTGCGAACATGGGGAAGTAAATCGCACTGAAACCGACGTCTCGTATCGCTGTAGCTCTTATGCCTCTATAAAATCCGAAAAAGCCTCCTTGAGAATATAATTTCTTGGTTAGTCCCCAGGCAGTTGGTCTAGGTGGTATTGTTCCTCCCGCTGAAAAAACATTAAACAACAAGATGTAAGTGCCTTTTAGTTTAGTCTTGTGGAGGTCTTTTGGCTAAAATGATGATGATGAACTCCTGTGTCTTATCATCTGTAGTATTGTATCAAGGTGCAGGTTATAATGCTGCAGTCAGTTCCCCAGAAACTACGCTAACCGTGCATTCAAATTGTACCTTGCAACTTGCAACTTTTGTCATACTGTAACGTATGTTTCTTATTAAGAATTCTACCATTAAAATAAAAGTTTCATCACATAAATAACTTTCTTTATTTACCTTCCTGTGAGGGTTCTGTTTATAAATATACAAGTGTGGGAGAGCCATGCTTCGGCACGAATGGGCCGGCTCGACCGGAGTGATACCACGGCCTCACAGTAAACCGACGTGAAGCAACGCTCGCGTTGTGTCTCGTTGTGGAGTGAGGATACCGGAGGTCCAATTACCCTTCCCTTCCCCAATCTCCCCAATTCCTGAATCCTCAACGATCCTGAAACTCCTAATCCCCAAAAGGCCGGTAACGTACTTGTATCGCCTCTGGTGTTCCAGGTGTCAATGGGCGACGCCGATTGCTTATCATCAGGTGATCCGTCTACTCGTTTACCATAAAAAAAGCCGGAAAAATCCAGAAACAGTAACATAATTACAAACCAGCTTTTATTTGTGCTTCGATTCGTCCAGCATCCTGTAACTGAATTTTCAGGAGCTCCATAGGTGTGGTGATTAAAGCCTGGTAAAGCCCGGCCCCAGCGCCAGAAATCGTCTGATTTAACAGCGATATAGTTCTAAATTGCGAAACAAAAAAAAAGTTTTAGGTTCTAGAATGAACGAAAGGCTTAGACTGTTAGGCCGCTGAATCGATTTTGATGACAGTTGAAGAGCATAGGATACTATTTATGGGAAAAAAATTAAAACTGACTTCAAAAATCAAAAACTAGAAACAAACAAAATGTATAAACTGAAAAGCAAACAATAACTATTCTTTGGCATACGTACTAATAAGTTAACCGCACACTGATAGGTAAGAAGTCGATGTCACAAGCTAAGTCGGAAGACGCCCACTATTGAAAAAGGGACTACGAATAGTGTGAACACGTTTGAACGTACCCGTCTGGATTGGCCAAATAGTATCGAAATACGTCATTGGCAGCTAACTTAATAGCTTTCTCTGGTGTGACCAGTAGGATATTGACACCAGACCCTCGGTACATACCGAAGTAGCCTTCTGCTCGGTATGTCTGCTTGAAGCAATCTAACCTGAAGTAAAAGAAAGTATAAAACACCGAATTTAGGTAGAGTATAGTCTCATATTAAAAGTAATGTGAATTGTGAATTTCTCATAAAATCAATGATTCTCTCTCTCATCGTTTAAATTTAGAATAAGGCTTAATTTGTATTGTATTAGAAACAGCTTGCGAGCTCAGTTGCCAGTAGGTTTTGGTTCAACTGTCCACAATTAATTAATTTATTATAAGACTTACATGTTTTTATATTGCTTCTCGCCATTTGGACCGATCGTTTGATTCTGAAGTCTGGTCTTTACTAAATCCAATGGAAATACTATGCATATACCCACAATACTCGCAATACCGCCATTAATAATTTTTGGCAGAATGCTGAAAATTTCGAAATTCTGGATTACAATATTGTACTCGTCAAATACAAGGCACTAACGGTGGTTAATGGCAGAAATAGATACTTTGAAGAATCGTGGCGTGGCCGTGTAGCGTCGTGGTGGCGTAGAGCACTGGTGCCGCGATCATCAATCGGCTGCAAGCATTTAGCGACTTACTTACGCGACACGACAGTCATGCAAATGTGTCTCAAACCCAAAAATGTATAAAACCGATGCATTTTATTTATTAGGTATAATATGGCAGTAGTCCCAGCTCCTAGCAGCGACTGTACTTTAATTTAGTACTAAAATACCACTTACTTTAGTTGCGGTAGCAAACTTTTTTGTTGAGGCTGCTTTTGCTTCGACATTTTTATTATTTAAAGCTGTAAACAGATAAGAAATTATTCAGGTGATTAAAAAGAAAATAGGTAAGTACTCACATCCATACGATTGAAACGATTTGTGTGGACTGGAACAATGTTTATAGTATTACTAGCTGACCCGGCAAACTTCGTACCGCCATAAAATTGTTTTCTCACCTTTTAAACGTTCCCTGGACTTCCATGAACATTCGAAGACCAAAATTAGCCAAATGGTTCAGCCGTTCTCGAGTTTTAGCGAGACTAACGAACGGAAATTCATTTTTATTTATAGGTATACCTACATGTTCTCAGATAAAACTTGTCCCAACTTATCATAGCAAATAGGCATCTAATACGTAGGTACAAAGTTCATTGAGTGTGTGGTTTTAATCGGTAAGAGTCGGACACAACCTGCTGTCTGACGCACATCGTCTAGAACTCTAGACAAAGGGTATCCATGAGGATTTCCAGACGTTGAATAAAAGGCATAATATTAAAGTTAGGTAAATGTAACACCCAGAATCCTGGGGTTTGGGAAAGATCAAGCAGTACTCCTTGATTACCATCCTATGTCAATTATTACAATCCTATGTCAATATCATCCTATCCTATGTATTCCTACGTAGTAGGTACCTAATATTATATGGCCCGGTATGGTGGGCATTGGCCTGTCGAGCGTCAGGGTCCCGCTGCGCTAGTACTACGGGCTACCGGTATCGGTATTGACTCAATACCCTGGTGGGTGCTGTGATGGTCTAACAAGTGATGTCGAGAACGATGGTTAATTATGGTAATTGATAATTATACAAATGGGGGGGGGGGCAGGGGTTCACTGTTTACCTACCTCTACTATGTATAATGGAGTTTGAATGGAAAAATTCCTCCTGTGTAGTAGGTACATAGGTATACAAATTCCCGCTTTTATCCCAAGGGGGTGGGCAAAAACAACAAAGCGCCAACTAGTACAATCCTTTGTATTTGTACCTATATTTCTTCAACATCTAACACATTCATTCTCTGCAACAAAAAGAGCAAAGCTTATAAAATTGTTTTTAATTAAATTGAAAAAGGAGATCGGGCATATTGGATATTTTTTATGGAATAGGAGGCAAACGGGTAGATAGACGGACACCTGATGGTAATCGATAGTGCCACCTATGGACACCCGCAACATCAGAGGAGTCACACGACTTACAGGTGCCTTGCCAGCCTTTTTAAAAATATAATGCTTACGCACGAAAAGGATATCGGAAATACCTAATTAGTATTATTATGAACTTTATTATTTATTATTTATTCCGACTAATCAGGCTTGATCTTTTTTAGATTTCATAAATCGATATTATAACACTAATGATAATTGCAAAAATGGACAAGGGAGAAAAAATCATTGGCCCTTGAATTATTCAATACATTTACGTATCATTTAATGTATGAATTTCATATAACCGATCATTGTCCGACCTGGAAGTCAAACCCGTTAGTAGGTCAAAGCCTGTTAGTAGGTACCTGCTTAGAAAATGTGTTTTGGATTGTCTCGATTTTACAGTCAAATTACTGTAAAATATAAACTCTTGACAATATATCCATATTTCTGGAGTCAATTAATATTTCTTCAGGGGCCAATTTGATTGTGTTTATAGAAAAATACCGGCCGAGTGCCAGTTGAATTTATACACGGAGGGTTCCATTTCAAAAATCACGTATGAATATTTATTTTGTTTAGTTGTTACTATTTATTGTTATAGCGACTTCAGAAATAGGTATAATATTTGCAATGACAGATGTACCTATCGCAAATGCTATGTGGACTGTGGACCAAGCAGGGAATTGTTGAATTGCGTTATCGTTTCCGAGGAAGAGGGCTCCGTAAAATAAACGTGTAATCAAAAAGTGAGTTGGTATTCTCATTCAGAACTCTTACTTGGCAGGCGCAACGAAGTAACACATTACGTAACACACTGCACGCTGGTATTCTCTAAGAATGTGGTTCTTTCCCGGTCGAGCCAGCAGTTTGAAGTTGTAGTCAAGCTCTACCACCGTAAAAGGTAAATCAATGACTGTTTCAGAGGGTGCCAAAATCGTTTTATACACAATACAGTGAATATTATCTACTTTTTAAGCAGTTATTATACTAGTATATTGACTATACATTACTTACCCCCACATATAACATGTAAAATAGAAATATTAAAATAAAACAAATTCCAAAATTTGCAGGAGTTGACAAGTTATGCATTTGTCATCTGTGACGTCTGTCCATGAAGATGCCATGAAGCAAGTAAATAGGAAGAGGATGTAGGGATTGGGGCATTTCGGTATTATTATTATGTCACCCGTTTTATATTAAACGACTTCAAAAAAAGAAAGTTTCTCAATTTGTCATGTATGTATGTATGTATGTATGTGCTCACGGTTGGCTGAACCGATTTTGATGCGGTTATTAGAAAAGTATTTGTTTAATTTAGTCAATAAACCGACTTAAAAAAGAGGGATTAAAGTCGGTTTTTAGTTTATAAAAGGATTATGTTAAATTCAGATAAGTACCCAGTACGGCAGTACCCACCTACCGTTTTTAGTCACTAACTGAGACAAAAGGCAAGGTAATAGAGAATTATTATTAGGTATAACTATTTAAGATTTATATACTCTGGAAATTTTTTCGCGAGCAACCTTCAGGACACACGGTATCACATGTTGAGATTGTATTTATTTCCTGAATTAATTTAGTTTCAATAGCATGCCATTGTATTGTTGATGTACTTAGCTGTGGCTCCTTGTAATTGGAGAAGCACAAGCATACTTTAGTTTTCTACTCTACAAGAAGACAAGCGCTAAATGGCATTTGAATACAGCCGCTGGTGGTAAGCGATGATGCAGCCTACGATGGAGTACGTCTGCCCATGCAACCTAAGTATTCACTCGGGCCTTGAAGACACTCAGGTTATACCGTTGAGGAAATAAGGAATCTGTATGGGTTTCTTAAATTAAATACATACTTACGATTATGCGCTTCAAATGGTACCGGTGGCGATTAACATAGGTACTTCGAAATGTTATTCTCATCATCCTGTAAATACCCTAATGGAATGGGCATTAACCACTACGCTTATCCAAATCGGATTGGCTAATTCAAACTTTTAAAATTAAAAATTATAAGTCCGGGTTTTCTCACGATGTTTTCGTTCAACGTTTGTCACTGGTATCTAAATTTCGTTGGTAATTGTTAAACTATAAAAGCTAAGAATTAATAACTCGGTGTCCCACTCACAGACTCGGGTTTTTCGGCAGATGCTTAAGGACAACACTATTATTCTAACACTGACAACTTTATCACAATGTTGCTGGCAGCTTATAAATATTAAATCTAGAAACAATAGAGGATACTTACTCTACTGCATGGCAGCAATTGAACCTCATCAGACACAACTCACACGACCACTAACAACTATGCATATACTCGACCTTTTCTGTGCTTTATACCACAACATTTATGGTATAAATAATTGTCGCGGAGAACCTAACGGATAACCGGGGCTCCGGCTCGACGCGCAGGAGAAGGAACGGGGTGGTTTTTAGTCAGTAAGAGTCTGACACTCCCTTCCGCCTCACCCAGGCGGGAGCAGTCATTCGATGATTTACCCCCCTTAAAAAAAAAATAGTATAAATAATTACCTATGGTTTTTTTACAGATGTATCCTAGCATCATACTCTTTTCTAAAGACGTATCCAAAAGTTCACCTTTCTACCCAATCTGTACCTATTAAATTATTATCCACGCTTCCATACTCAATATATGCATCTATTTCTGTTACTGAGTCAGATTAAGACGGCTGAAGAGACCGGGATGAAATTTGAAACTGGGGTAGATTATGGTCTGGAGCTATTCATAGGCTTCTTTTTACCCCTGGGGACGGGCAAAGCTGCTGGCAGAAGCTAGTGTTATTATAAATATCTACGATACGCTGTCTGTCTGCGGTATCTGCCTGTTTGTCGATTCTTTACGCATGAACTACTGAATGATTTGGATGCAAAGACTCAATGCTCAAAATTCCCGACCCATGTAGCTTGTATGTCAGTTGTAGGACCGGCGTTAGTTAGCGGTTTTGTTTAACTTACTGCGTTTATTTGTTTAAAAATATAAAATATAATATAAAAAATAAAATATAAAATAAATTTATTAAAACAACATAGAACACATTTTCAATTACAGTTCGCTCAGTATATATTATAGTAATAAAACCGTAATAGTTTACTTAATCTAGTCTTATACAATAGATATGCGAGGATATAACGTTCTAAGTACATATAGGGACTGCTACTACTACTGTTTGTAATTTTACCCCCTTCACGGCGACAGATCGATCTAATATTTGATACACACTCTAAATCTTGGCGACCATATTACCATACGATAGCATACCATAACTCGCCAACACCGCAGCGTATTAATTTATGTGACTTCCCGTGTAATTATTTTCTTCTTATTGGATCGAACGTACCAATTTGCTCTCCACAAGTATCCGTTGATCAAAATCCCGAGGAAAGTGAAAGAATATCGATTAAAAGTGATAGGTTCTGCTCCCATTACAAAGTATACTTAGCTATCATGTCTATCGTTCATTATCCCTTTCTACACAGTCTTTTCCGGATTCAACAATATAAAATGACCCATGCCCATCAATTGTGTATCACAGTACTTTGTGTACACAGGGAGTAAACATCAACTAACATGAGTCACAATATTTTGGTAAGAAAAATTTTATTAGGGTTTTTGGGGTTTAGTCATTGGTTTCATTTTTGAGACGAGAAGGGCCTGAAAATTCTGCTAACGAAAACTCCGTAACTGAGTGTACCTACTAGACTCATCCGTCTCAGTGTGATAAGAATTTCATGTCCTACAGAACTCACTAGCGCCCCCTGGTTACACAAGTAACGATTCAATCGAATCTGTAAACCATCGCAATATTCGCAATAAATGTCTTCGATGTAGACAGCAAATTAGATTCAGTATATATGGCTCTCACCAGGTTGTCTGCGTTGGCCTGATGGCAGCGGTCTCAGCCAGCAGCCAGCAAGACAAGAGGAGTGTTATCAGCATAGAGCCGGCTTCCTGGCCCGGTGTGGCAACATGGGTGCAAGGAGGACATGGTAAGATACTAATACAAGAATAAATAAGCCCCACAAACCATGAACTGTCAATTTAGCGGGGTTATTTGTCATAGATAGGTACTCAAATATAAATTGATATTGGGAGGTTGTGGCCGACTGGCCTAAAAAAACCAAAGAAAAAACAATGGACCTATTTGAATAAAAATTTTCAGGTGGTTGGTCATCAGACACTAGTTCAGACGTGGCTGGTGCAGTCGCTGCTGCCAAAGCAGCTGCCACGGCAGTGATGGCCGCTCAACATGAGGTCGCCGCAGCTAAGCATGCTGCACTCGAACAACAGAGTGTAGCCAGTGCAAAGGAAGCTGCTGCTGCTCGTGCTGCTCATAAAAGGTCCATAGAGATAATATCACCACCGCTCTAGATTCTATATTTCCGGGCTATAAATATAATTATGTTCTGTTACAGTGAAGAGGCAGCAAGAATTGCGCGTGCGCATGCGTTAGAGGCTGCGCAGGCAGCAGTGCAGGCGCAGGCACAGCTGGCTGGAGCCAAGGCCCGTGCTGCCGCTGCTCAGAAAATCGCTGCCGCCCGCGAGGCTGCAGCAGCTAAAGCCATACAGCGTGCTGCTCACAATCAGGCCGCCAGACTGCAGAATGCCGGTAAAAAACCTACTTACAAAATTTTTTACATTTGTGACTACCATGAGACCCAGATAGAGAAATTACTGTTACTATCTCTTCTTTTGCAGACCTAGAGGCGTTGAAGTTATCCGTAATACAAAGTTCAGGCGCAGCTGGAGCGGCAGGGGCTGCACAGCACGCTGCTACAGCTGCTGCGGCTGCACTCCGGCCACAGACGCCGGAGTGGCCAGCCAAACCCTGGACTGCAGCTGCGTGGGTACCTGCCACCTGGGGCTGGGCTTAACTTCAATATTCATGAAAACTGCGGCAGACGATTTATAGGACCAACGAAAATAAACTCTAAATTGTTTTTGCTTCCATAAGACTACTTATTATAAGTTTCAATGTTTTAGTTTTAAGATTTTATTATATCACAATAGATTTTAGTTAAAAGAAAAATACACGTTTCCGAATTGGTTTTAATATGTATTGTTTTAATTGACTCATTGTCAAAACCTATTTAATTTTATCTTTTAACCGACTTCATTTCGTTCATATCACCGGCAGTTATATGCGTTAGAAAATGGTCTGGTTAGATACAGATACCACCTGTCTGTATCAAACAGATCTTATATTCTCATCTTACACAGAGATAAGACAAGTTTATCTTTGTAGATCGATATAGATAAGTATGTTTGCAGTGACTATCTTATTATGAGTATATGTGGAGTTTCCATGCAGATGCATCAGATTTTCAAATCACATTTAAAGGGTGAATGAAAACCCATTGACTCATCACAGGGTACATTTCAAATAACAGTATTTAGATTTTGGTGTTAAATTTTAGCTTTGAAAAAAAAAAGAATTTATTCTTCTACATAATGTTACGTTATACCATTCATCACGCCTGGTATAAAAGGCAGAGGGGCGAACGGCTACGCAGAGGTACCTACACACTATGGCATGGCACTTAATGCCAATGTAGGCACAATCTAACACCCATTTTTAATTTTTTTTGTAATATTTCTTTTTAATTAAAAATTAATTTATAATATCTATTAATGAAACATGTTCTTTGTGTATAGAAAATAGTAATGACGCTTAGGTACTTATTACTTAATGTTAATGCATAATAATATGCATATGTAGATATTATATAATAGTATTTAAATACTAGGACTAGGAATAATATTCGCTCTACATTCCCTCTGTATTGATTTGATCCCACGCCTGCGCGTTACGAACGACAGGAGATGAAGTTTCGAAGATCGTGTTTTTACAGCATCCAGCTTCCGTAGCTCTTAATTCCTATTGTTTTGTACCTTTCTAAATATAAAAACAAAAATGAGACGACTGAAAGCCTAACTACTGGACAATAAGGTAAGATTAGTGATTCTATTCGCGCCATATGTTTACAAACTCAGGAAGGTTGTCCTATTCTGGCAAAATGGAGAACTCTGAAATATTCATACGCAATCTAAAGTTAAGCCTTTACTTACGTTGGTAATTAGTATAGTCACTTGTTTATTGAAGTGAGAATTTAATGAGTTTGTAACATGTTTAACTAATTATTTTGTAAATGAGAATCAATATTCAGATAGAGAATCTGTGTTATTGAATGAGGAACCGTTTTGTTGTCATTGTTTACTCCCAAATTGATTGGATTTATACGAAATATCCAAGAGACATATTTATTCTTAAATACCTAGGTACAAACAAATAGGTTAACAATGACATTACAGACGTAAGTATAGTAATAGGCACGTAAGAATCGTGCAGTATAAAAAAATGAAGCGACGACATTCTGGCGTAGATAATTAACAAACTGTTTTAATCTACTGACATTCTTAACGTAACGCAATTATTTCACTTTTTAATTAAACCATTGTATTTGTAACTGAAACTTAATATGGAAACCTACTAAATGTGAATTAAGTATGTTAACTTGTAATCGGTTAGGTTTCATCAATCTGTGTGGTCAAGTATAGCGCAGGCGCGAAGCCATTTGTTGTCCATATAAACTATGAGATTTGGTAAATTGCCAAATATAATATGTACATGCAAATACGTGTATATATGCAAAAAAAGTTATGTCATGCATGACTCATAATATTATCATTCATAATAGCTTGTAACCCGCGACTTTGACTGCTGGTGAAAATTGTATGTTCTCCGTAGCCTCTATTCTCCATGTACTGACTTACTGAGGTATGTGTACCTCACTCCCAAGTCCTAAATACCTATACATAAAAAATGTTAGAGTAGGAGTAGATGAAACTTTACATAGTAATATACTTATGTATAAACTTATACTTTCTCATTAATAAAAAGTATTATTATGAACTATATAATTATTTGTATATGTAGAAAGGAGTTCAGAGATTATAGGTACCTAATAGGAAAGTAAGATTACAACAGTTCTCGAATTAAAAAGAGGTTAATTTCAGTGTTTCATATCTACTACTTTAGAGGTATACTGAGTTTATGTATGTAGGTAAGGACGTTGAAAAAATGTATATAGATATACTTAGCTACTCTCTGACCATATTCAAAATATTCCATTAGAGTCCAAGATGTGGACTCACCACATCCTGTTGGCGGTGGTGTGGTGCGGGACGTTGGCTGCGGCTGACATAGACCGGCGCCGGTTCTCCAACCCCACCTACTACAACGTTGGGGGAGTCCTATCCAGCAACGAGTCTATTGCATTCTATAAGGATACTATATCGGTAAGTAAAACATCAAGCACAGGACCACCACTCACAAGGTGAATAACGAACTAGCTAGATTAAAGTCGCAAGGAGACCAGGCCTATCCGGAATCAGAGGTCTATATTCAGCTGTTGACTTCTTATAGCTTTCATAGTGATGATGTAATATGTAGTGGTTTATAATTTGAATGCGAAAGGTCTGATCGAATACAATGGTGGTATGTAGGTAATACTATTGGAGATGGAGAGTACCATTAAGTACGTTTAATTATATGTGAAAAGAATCTGGCCAATAAGGTGTATGTATTTGTGTAGGTATGTAAAAAAGTTGAGCGTTCAATCTCCCACGCACACAAGTACAAGAAAGCTCGATTCTCAATATCCAGACAGTCTCTGTAATACATGCAAAAGACAGTTCCATTTTAAGTTAAGCTCACAACATATGTTGTAATTAATTTATGTAACTCAGAACATAACAATGTGACTGCTCCCATTATGCAGACTCGTTTTAATTTAACACACTCAATGACAATATCCTCATTTCCTTTGATACACATATTAAGCAATAATAACTAAAGTGAGCCAGTTTTTTTATCAGAAACACAGAGGTACCTATTAAATTATTTAATGACTAATTGTTTACAGAATCTGAACTTCAAAGACCAGTATGTGCCTCGAGGAGTTACGTATCATGATTATTCCATGCTTATGGACCCGAATCCCATCAAAACGGCGCTGAACGTCTGTAAGGACCTCATTGCTCATCGTGTAAGTTTGTGTTTATAACCTGCATCGTAACTAGAGTACCTAATAGGGAACCTTAGAAAGACCCCTATAAGATCAGACAGTTTTTCAAGGACTCATCTATCTGACTGTTAGTAGGTAAAACTCATAGGTACCTAGAGACTTTCTACGTCTCTGTATAACTTGAGTGGATATTAATGGACATCTAATCAACATTGCTGCCTCTGCTGCCTCTTTGGGCGAGTGGTCGTAAATGCGACTGCCGGACAAGGGGTCTCGGGTTCGATTCCCGGGTCGAGCAAAGTATTACTGGGTTTTTAAATATTCTCAGTAGTAGCACGGAGTCTGGAATTGTGCCCGGTATATATGGCAATAGGCTCACCCCCTATTACATGGGACTCATAACATAAATAGTGATGAAAAGTGGGTGTTGTACAGTGGTATAATGTGCACCTCTGCCTACCTTTTCGAGGATAAAAGGCGTGATGTTATGTTATGTTTATGTCTAATCAACATACGTGATGGTGACATTGGTGAATAAACGACATCCTTTTATAGGTGTACGCAGTAGTGGTGTCCCATCCACTGACAGGAGACCTCTCCCCAGCTGCAGTGTCCTACACCAGCGGGTTCTACCATATACCAGTCATTGGTATTTCCTCAAGGGATTCTGCGTTCTCTGATAAGAACATTCACGTATCATTTCTTCGGACTGTGCCGCCATATTCGCACCAGGCCGATGTATGGGTTGATGTGCTGAAGCACTTCAATTACATGAAGGTCATATTCATTCATAGTTCCGATACCGACGGCAGGGCTATTCTAGGACGGTGAGTAGACAAACCACTATAATAGCTACTATTTTTAATATGTAAAACAGTGTTGATAAACAAAACCTGGAGGTCTAACCTGGAGGGCTAACCAAGGAGTCCAGGTTTGATTCTTAAGACGACTAGGCTTATTGAATATTTGTTAGTTTAAAAAAATCTGTTGTATCAATACCGCGACTTAACTTACGAGTTATTAATGTAAATATACTGAGACAAGCTCTAATAATTTCGAGACATCATCGCCGCGACCGCTGCTCATGAGGAAGAGTCCCTCTGTGACTCGAAACTAGTAGAGCTTTTCTCAATATAGTTACGTGAGTAACTCTCAATTTTTAATTAATTCTAATAAAAATATAGTTATTATAAAAACACCGACTTCAAAAACTAAAGACAAGCGAAAAGTAAAAACTAAAAAGGAAAAAAATAACAAATATGTATTATAACGAATAACTATTATTGGTCATACTAACATTATTAAGCTGTTTATAATTTTTAAAGAATTATCAAAATCGGTTCATAAATAACGACGATATTGGCGAACAAATATAAAAAGGCATACTTATATACGATATACGGTCGAATTGAGAATCTCCACCTTTTTTTGAAGTCGGTTAAAAATAACATGACTAAATAAATTCATATACATTGTTACTGGTGCGAAATACAATATATTTGAAGAATATTCTTATTTTAGCTTTCAAACGACATCACAGAGCGTGGACGAAGATGTGGATCGTAAGGTGGTAGTGGAGCAAGTCATAGAATTTGAGCCCGGACTCGATTCTTTCAGCGACCGGCTTATGGATGTAAAAGGTGCCCAAGCCAGGGTATTCCTCATGTATGCCAGGTATGTAACAGAATATTAAAGAGTTTCTAGTTCTTTCTAAAGGCAAAGGCAAAGGCCTTTAGCCAAACGCCACTTTAGCGCTTGCCTACCGAGAGAGTAGAAAACTAAATGTATGGGAATGACATTGACAAGTGTCAAAATTTATGTCAATTCCATATATTTTGGTTTTCTATTCTATAAGTCCTAGACAAGCCGTAAATGGCATTTGGCTACAGCTGCTTGCTACAAGGCGCTTCGATAAAAAGATCTTGGTTTTGATTGAACCCAGAACACCACTACGAAACTGCGATACTCTATTTGCTGCGGTGTCACAGCTCTATTGTGATCATTATGGTCATTATAAAAATAATATGATTGGCGTACTGTTTCAGTCTAAAATAAATACAAATACTTAGGTACCTCCTATTTATTATTATTACCTCCTAAGTATTATTTACCAAACCATTGGAAGCATACCGCCATCTATACCGGGACTACTGTTAACATTAATTATAATAACTTTATGTTAAAATGAACCTTACGCATGTATGAAAGATCGATTTACTACAAGCAATTCCAGGATCTATCTAAAGACTTAAAACTTGAATAATGTGCGACATTTTTTGTATAGTAAAACGGATGCAGAGATAATATTCCGTGATGCGACGTTCCTCAATATGACGACAGTGGGATACGTATGGATGGTCACGGAACAGGCGCTAGATGCCGCTAATGCCCCTGAGGGTCTACTGGGCCTACGACTAGTCAATGCTACTAACGAACACGCACATATTCAGGACTCCATGTAAGATATTACGAATTAAATTAATTATGTCGTCTACCTCTCAATGTATTCGTCAAGGACAATACTAATATTTATCGTCAAACAACTCTTCGATCAACAATAGCAACGTCAAACTCAATGACTCGATGATGACATAAAACCTATTTACGTTTTTAATCTAACTTTCAATCTGGCCACTGCAAACGAAAAAATATGGGATGCCATTAGTTTTTTATAAACATAATATTTTTTTTCTTAAAGAATAATGGCATCTCAATTTTTTGCGAAAGATGGCCAGGAATTCAAATCACATAGCTCTGACCTCTTTCATTAAACTTTTTGAATATTGTAGGTATACTAAAGACAGGCCATTTTCCGCGAAAAAGTTGAAGATGCTATTTTCTTTCACAAACGAGTAAAACTTTTTCTTTATAAAAAATTTATTGACATCAATTTATTTTTGGCATAAAGTTGTCAGGTACTCATTATTTACACAAAAAGAGGTTAGTATTTAAATTAAGTTTCTTTAATTCTATCTATCTTCGAATATTTCAGCTACGTATTGGCATCAGCCATCCGTGATATGAATACGTCTGAGGAGATCCATGCCCCACCATCTGATTGTGACAATTCAGGGTCCATTTGGACCACAGGACGTTTGCTTTTCGATTACATAAGGAAACAACGTTTAGAAAACGGAGCTACTGGCCATGTCGCCTTCGATGACCATGGAGATCGCGTACATGCGGAGTATGACATGGTCAATGTTAGGGCTCAGGGCGAACACGTTGCTGTGGGCAAATACTTTTATTTTAAAGTAAGTTACACATGTTGACTAATGGCATAATAAATATAGAGCTCTAAAGTTCTATTATGCATAAAGCATTCGATAAAATTACTCATTGTAGGTAACTACGTAAGTTAATAAATAAATTCTTATGGTCTATTCGGACCTATAATACACTCTTCGGATAATAAATTGTCCAAACATTATCTAATATCGGCACCTAAATCTGCTAAGACTTAAATTATTTTGTTCTCCAAAGGAAACTCAGAAGATGCGACTGGAATTAAAGGAACAGGAAATAATATGGATGGGCCGAAGCACTTCGAAACCGGAGGGGTTCATGATACCGACACATCTCAAGGTGATATTCATCAACATTGATAAATACCACTAGAAAACAAACGGCTGCACGTGTTTGATAACAAATACATATTCCTGTTATCAATATTATTGATGAGTATGAACTATCTATAATCAAATTAGTCGCAATGACTCGGGGCCAGCTCCCAAGTTTCCGTGTGAAAGTGTACGTCTGTTAATCCGGTGTCTAAGGTCGCTTCTAATAATTGAAGTGGCGAATAGTGTTACTTGTCTTTATATGCGCCTTCTATGCGTAATTACAAAATTGGGTATACCGGATAAGGCTGGTGATGTGTATGAGAAAGGCCCATGACACTGGAGATGGGGCAATTAGGATGATGACAGGGTATGAAAATTATAAAATATAATTAGTCCGTAAGTAAGGTAATGAAAAAATATTAGACACGTGTTTTTTTATTTTGTCGGATAATAAAACAATACTTAGATAAAACGAATCAAAGTTTAGGAGTGGGGGCTAAAACGTCATTTCTACATATAAAATGTACATAGAAGTGACGTCACGCGACATTTCAAACCAATATATAGTCGAAAGTATTCGTTTCTATGAGGAAATAAAAAATACGTGTGTAATGATTTCAAGTAAACTACCAGACGGACATTAAAATAAAAATTAGGCATCTACCCTATTCTAGTGTTGGGCAACGGTTATGAAAAAGATCTAGACTAATTAGTCCTGCAAACTCTTGTACCATCAGGTGCTGACAATTGAGGAGAAGCCATTCGTGTACACTCGGCGCATAGACGACGGTAGTGAGTGCACACCTGAGGAGATCCCGTGCCCCCACTACAATGCTAGCGAGGACACGGGTAATTATGTATTCTAACTGTCGTAACAATTTTTTAGGATAAAGGACAAACGAGTAGGATGGTTCGCCTGATGGTAAGCGATCAGTGGCGCTCATGAAGATCCGCAATACATTTTGAAAATTGTCAGTAGTAGGGCCCTACCTAACCCACCTACTAGCTTGTAGCTCGCCTACTAGCTAGTAGCGGATAGCTCGCCGTCCGACCAGCACCAGGCCCGAACGTGCGGCGCGTCGCGTTCCGCGCGCGCCTCAAAATGCCATCAGACCACCGCGGATGGGGCCCAAAAGGGCTGATGCCGATACGGAGCCGCGGAGAAACTTAACGGGTTACCGGGGCTCCGGCTCGAAGTGCAGGAGTATAGGAACGGGATGGTTTTTAGTCAGTAAGAGTCTGACATTCCCTCCCGCTTCACCCAGGCGGGACAAGTCATACGATGATTTTCCCCCCTTAAAAAAACAACTCACTTACTAGTAGCACAAAATCTGGAACAGAAGATTTAAAGGTCTATTGTTATCTACTTTTATTAAGACCACTACTGCCTATCCTTTTAAGAAGTAAAGTGTATGGTATCATGCTTACGTAGTTATATGTTTACGTATTTCGTAATGTTTCAGATCAGCTCTATTGCTGCAAAGGTTTTTGCATGGATCTCCTAAAACATCTATCGAAGGCTATCAACTTTACATACTCGCTGGCTCTGTCACCTGACGGTCAATTCGGGAACTACATTATACGTAATCTTACCCAACCAGGTGCCAAAAAGGAATGGACTGGACTTATAGGTATGAGGGTTTTTGTCAGGGGTGGGCAAACCATTTACACGAGGAGCCCCAAAGTATTTGTGAGATATAACACTGATCTTAAGATAAATATTATCGAACTGAGAGGTCTCTTCTAGAATGCACCTTGTTTTTTTCTATCTCTATTCTTACTTACTTTATGAATACAGGAGAACTGGTATACGAACGTGCAGACATGATTGTGGCCCCGTTGACCATAAACCCGGAACGGGCCGAGTTCATAGAATTCAGTAAGCCTTTCAAATATCAAGGTATTACCATTTTAGAGAAGAAGGTATGTAACCTACAAATCCAGTATAATAGTAGAGAGATGCCTATTAAGTAGGTACTTATACTTAAACATCAGATTCTGCATTTAACATAAAATTCCTAACAATCTTGTCTTCCTACTTTCAGCCATCTCGTTCATCAACATTGGTATCGTTCTTGCAACCATTTTCCAACACTCTATGGATTCTAGTGATGGTCTCTGTCCACGTTGTGGCTCTAGTGCTGTACCTACTCGATAGATTCTCTCCTTTCGGACGGTTCAAGCTGGCGAACATTGATGGTACGGAGGAAGATGCATTGAATCTTTCCAGTGCCATTTGGTTCGCTTGGGGAGTGCTACTAAATAGCGGTATCGGAGAAGGTGAGATTCACTAATCATATTTTATCTTTGCAGTGAGTAACATACGAGTGAAGCTACCTATGTATTTGTATTAAGCAATTTGTCATTAAGCATGATGTTGCTAGCAACTTAATGTATGCATGGACTAGTGCGCCCCCAAATAGATTTAACATAAAAAAGTTAACAAAATCTTAATCTTAAAAAGAAACCATCTTATGTGAACCCCATTCAAAGTGGTCTCTGATTACGAGAGAGCGATTGGTGAGTGTTTGCGTTGCTGTCCGTAAGTTTGCTATTCCGTTGTTCCAGGCACTCCTCGTAGTTTCTCAGCGCGCGTGCTCGGCATGGTGTGGGCAGGATTCGCAATGATCATCGTCGCCTCCTATACTGCCAACTTGGCTGCATTCCTCGTGCTCGAACGGCCCAAGACGAAGCTTACAGGAATCAATGATGCCAGGGTAAGTAATATTGCTTCCAATTCACAATCTCACCGTCACGCGCGATGTATCAACACCAAACAGTAACTTAGATGCAGAGAGGGTTCATGCCAATTGCCTTCGACAACGGGATAAATATTACAAGGGATTTAAATAATGCTGACTTGAAATATTTCTTCGACATCAAAAGTACCTATCCATCAATCAGAGCATACCAAGATTAATTGATCATAGCAATATTTCCCTAGGACTGTTCGATGGTGCAGTTTGACGGGGAGGTACAATTTCACAGATTAATATTTTCGGGCTAACGTAGTCGCATCTAGACTAGTTTAGAGAGTAGCTAATGCTTTATTTTTATTATCTTTAGCTTCGCAATACCATGGAGAATCTGACCTGCGCCACGGTTAAGGGATCAGCTGTCGATATGTATTTTAGACGACAAGTTGAACTGTCGAATATGTATCGCACAATGGAGGCAAATAATTACGATAATGCTGAGCAAGCTATCGAGGATGTTAAGAACGGGTAGGTTCATCCTACATTTGGTTTCTGTAGATGCAGATTTATGTAGACCTAGAACTAGGACTTCCATGGTTCTTTGGTTTATTTTTTGTTGTAGTTTTCATTTAGACCATGGATCAAAAATGTTTTTGAATTGAACATGTAGTGTAGGTGTAGGTTTTAACTATTTTTGTCACACCAGTTTTCTCATTGTGGTCCATGGTTGCAGTAAACTAATGGCATTCATATGGGATTCATCTCGCTTGGAATTTGAAGCAGCCCAGGATTGTGAGCTAGTAACAGCAGGAGAACTGTTCGGTCGCTCGGGCTATGGTGTGGGACTGCAAAAGGGCTCTCCTTGGGCGGACCTTGTCACACTCGCTATATTGGATTTTCATGAAAGTATGTATTCACATTCTTATGTATCTGGTTTAGCATATTTTTAGATAATGGTAAATGGTTCGTCAACTATAACTCTTGCTACTTTCAGGTGGTATAATGGAGTCTTTGGATAACTTATGGATCCTTCGGAACAACATGCTAAACTGTGAAGAAAACGAGAAAACACCAAACACATTGGGCTTGAAAAACATGGCGGGAGTGTTTATACTGGTGTTAGCGGGTATTATAGGGGGCATAGTACTGATAGTGATCGAGGTGGTGTACAAACGTCACCAGATCAAGAAACAGAAGCGGATGGAGATCGCGCGCCACGCCGCCGACCGCTGGCGCGGAGCTGTCGAGGTAAACAGAGTGAAGCGGGAGCCATGGATGTGCACCACTTCGATAACGTCAAACAGCAGTTAGAGAGTAAAATATAGAGCCGTGTGCGGTGTGCCCCACTGACGACTGATGCACTTGTTGTATGTAGCTCCGGGATTGCGAACCATTGCTACTCAAATATTTTTAGTCAATCCCAATTTAAAGTGTAACGAAAATAATATATTTTTAAGAAATATATAATGTTTTAATGGGTAGGTATAGTATAGTCTGCTTATTGAGGTTCGCCATCCCCGATGTAGACAAATATTGTTAACGACCAATATTTAATCTTATTCAAAATAAACACTTTTCACGTTCATGTACATTGTTAATTTTGATCACACTAAGTCCCCGCTGCTTTGTGGAGCTTGTACACCAACTCGCTGGACACGGTAATAGTCTATTGCTGTTGTAAGTACTTAGATAACATTGTGTTGTTCATGTTTAATTGGTGTTGTACAGCACAGATTAGTAAACAAATGGAGAGCTAGGTATTATTTATAAAGTTCACAGACTTTACGTCACGTAGCATTTATTTAAATACAGATGCATTAGGTGCTTGAACATGATAGATGTTGATCACTCCATTTGTTTACTCCTCAGTGGTGTACGAAGACAGTGGAGTAACTTTGTTGTGTTTCAGAAACGGAAGACACTTCGGGCCGCCATCTTGCCATCACAGCGCAGAGCCAAGTCGAATGGAGTGAAGGAAGCTGGCAGTATCAGTTTGGCTGTAGAGAGAGGAGCCCGACGCCGGGACGAGCCGCGTGTGCCTCGTTACCTGCCGGCCTATACGCCCGATGTCTCGCATCTAGTCGTGTAAACTAATATTCATTACTCAAGGCCTATCTACGTACTGCGTATTTCTTATCGCACTATGTACACTAGGTCTAAATTGGTGTTGTTCGTCCTAAAGTAGTTAGAATTTGAATCGTTGCTGTGAACTTAGCTTATGATATTGTGAAGAATTTACTAAGCTCAACTTAGGTATTTGTTTAGTCGTTAAATTATTAGGTATATAATCTGTGGTGGCTGGTAGCACATTTATGAGCAAGAAGTCACTTTTTAAACCTTAAATGAACAGTCAACTAGTCGTGTTAGCAAAGAATTTAGTACTGACTGACTGATTGCTATTACTTACTGAACACTATATGAGGCCAAGGTTACAATATAAATCTAACATGGCCTCCTCTTTCTTTCATTTCTTGGATGTGCTACATATTACAGGGTACGGCCTCTAAAGAACTTCTAAACTCCAAAATAGTTGTGATTAATGATAAGAAATGCACAACTACTGATTTATTAAGTTATTTTAAAACTAATTTACTGACTTTAGAACATCAGGAGATGTTGCCCCGTTTTGTTGAATTGTAGAAAATAAAATGTTAACTCTAAATGAAAATAGGTATATGTGGTTCTAAATGGATGTCTAAAGATATTGTTATTCAGAAGATTAGCTAGTCACTGTTATTTTATTATTAAAAATATATAGTTTATACTTCAAAAGCTATGTCTAGTTTGTTATGCCGGCCGTTATTACTGTCCTCAATTATTTAAGCGTACAACTTCTTTATTATTGAAATACGCAAAATAGTAATTTTTGATATTGTTGTCTAGTTTATCAAAAGTCTACATGTGACATAAAATAAATACCAATTACTTAAACCTGTTTATTAATTGCTTAGTACTTAACGTGTGCTGCTCATTGGGGCTTTTAAGGTAGATTTCAAATAAAAGACTATTTTTAACACATCTATATATTTACATAAGGATTTTAACAGTGCTGTATGGGGGTAATATATATATATATAAATATCATAGACACATAACAAGAGCTATGGTGCTCTGAGTAACGACTGAAGCAAGCCAGAATGTTAATTGCCAGGATAAACACGTAGTAGGAATGTATTGCGCAGCTGCAAGGGCCCCGCGTGACACCACCCTGCGCTCAGTCAAATCTTTGCCTCGATTTGAGTGAACATAGCGTGGGATGCTGCCGTCACCCGGCATCCTTGCAGCACTCAACTCTCCCTACTGATGATAACATCAACGGTACACACGAAAATATTTATCCGAAACATTCATAACAACGTTCATAATACATAGAAGGAAGATTACAATATAATATTTGACATAGAAATAACGCCCATCTACTATTGCGTGTTCTTGTGCTACAGTAATACTGCAAGGGACAAGTTGCTCTGAAGTCCATACTTACAACAGCGTCAACTTTAGATATATGGATATTTGCATTTCCTAATGGTAACATTTTAATTAAACCATCTCCAAATCCTATAAACTACATCCTCTAAAATACATATAACATTATGCTATATGAATGAATTGTTATAATAAAATATCTAGGCTCAGAAAGTCGGTGTTAGCATTATAGAAGCAGGCGAAACTAATGCACAGTACGAGCGGCCTGGTCAGGCCAGGAATCAGAAACTCACAGGGTCACACATTGTCTGTCAGTTGTACATTTTCTGGCGACATAACGGGACCACTCATCAAATTACATTCTAAACAGCGATAAAATTGTACGCATTATTACGATATAATTAATTAGGCAAAGGAAAAACACTTATTATAATATTATAGTTCTACAAATTATGAACTTTAAATAAATTGTTAGTAGTAACAAGTGTGAATATAGGTCACCGCTAAGTGCTTAATCGTTGAATTTACGGTTAGGGTTGCGGCCGAAGAGGGCGGTACGGATCTCGGGCAACAGCTGCTGGGCTATTAACTCCAGGCGAGACTCCAGGGTGTTGCAGATCTGTACAAACACACGTCACTTAGTAAACACGCGCCGACTGCACACTTACGTGCACTAGAGGTGTAGCTAAACAATATACCTTATCAACCGTGACCATTACACAGTACTACTCAATATAAGTTTCACTTCATCAGTGAGATTCACGAAGCATATTGATCACGTCATTTTAAATATAATAAAATATCGTTGTAGTGATGGTGAATCGCGGATCAGCACGGTATGACCGCATTAGGAGGCAACATGTGGTAAGTATACATAATTATAATATCAAACACTACTTAGAATTTAAAAAAACTTTTACTATTCATGAACACACAGCTCCAGAAACGACGACTTGAACTATAAGTATTTCAAATTAAAGACGAATTCATATTAATTTAAGAAAAATGAGTGTGATCATACCTTGATGCGTCCCCTGAGAGCGACGAGCTCAATTCCACCGCAGGTGTCAGGTGGCAGCCAGTTGTCAGCGTCGATCTTCAATACAGTGTCCTTCTTGATCTGAGCTTTGTAGTCACTCTGGGCCTTTGAAAGGACTGACTCTACCAAGGACTTGTCTGCTTGACGCACACGCAGGGTCACTGCGGGCTCCATCAGCTGAAGTAAACAGATTATTTGGTTCCATGTGTTGATAGTTCATAAACATTTCTATTTATAAACATGTTCTAAAGTTGTCAACTCGTATACTTTTATCGAAAAATAAAACAAACAATCATAGTTTTCTTAATGATGTATGAAATTATAAATCGTGAGTTATGACGTCATTTAGCGTGTTTCTCATAAATGAGAGGAACATGAAAACTATGTTAGCAATTTAATTAATTAGAGAACCATTAACATTAGGTAGTCCACAGATTTTATAAGCGGGAATAATTTATTTTTAACTGAAAATACATTTAATTGCATTTCAAACCTGGAAGAGGGCTTGCACGATGAGTGCGGTCAGCAGGTCACTGTACATCTTCTGGTCCTTGGGTACTTCAGCCAGGCGCTTGCGGGCCTCGTCCAACAGGTTGCGTACATGGTCTTCACGTACTTTGAGCACCCTGAGACGAGCCTGGTTCAGCATGTTGGAGGATTGGCTGGCAAACAAGAAATTTTGAAATTATTACTGTGTTTCAACTTGTGTGCAATTGATCTTATTGCTACTTTTATATGCCTGACTGGTCAACATGGTCTCATGGTCTCATGGTCAGTGATATATAAATAGATTCTGTAAATAAATAAAAATAGACAAATTGTAATTTGATTTTTTGATGACAGATCTGTATATTGTTAATACATACCTAATGATAATGCTTTAACATGATCAGTTAAAAATGATATAGTGACCAAAGACCATGTCATATTAAAATGGCAATACTATAGTGACCTACTTTCCTAGAAAACTTAAGTAGCTTTGCCAAGTTACAGGGGGAATGACCCTCCTGATTCTTGTGGCGCGTAGCGCCATAAAAGATGACGCCATAGAAGATATTACGAGATGAATTCACCAGAACCATTCAATAGAAATCAGACCCATATTTTTAAAGCTCAAGACATCATAAAATGTATTTAAAACCTTTAAAGCCAGTAAAGAAATCATATTTTAGGTTAGCAAATGTAAGAAATGAGTTTTAGGGATAGAAAATAAAATTCTTTGATTTTACACCTTATCTACCCAGATAAACTGTATGTAATCATTGTTATCATTTCATTTTGCTCCTTGCTATATATGTTATAGTATGAAGTATACTATACATGTATTACATAAATCTCAAAATAATTGGATTATAGAACCAAGAGAAACATAGATGCATTATTTAATGACAGCGTGACTGTGTACCTAATGTTTTAATTGTTATTGGAATCAACAAGGGTAACCATTGTAAGAAAACTTATAAAGAACTAAAGATAGATATGAAGAAGCTTTAAAAACCAAGAAAACATCATTGGTTAAGAACTTGACACTATATTGTTTATGGTATGTAGAGTCATGTGACTAATTATTTCGCTGAATGTCAATGAAAACTTATTAGAAAATCCCTTGAATTCACATTCATGATAGCAGTTTTGTATCTAAGACACAAATAACTGGTTTGTGTGACATAAGATTTAGCACTTCATTCATAGTTTTACACATATCACATGACCATGTGTTAGATTTTGTTGGAGATTTTATTACAAAATGTGAACTATGAAGTTTTAGCAAATCTAATTAGATTTCATATGTTTATTATAGATAGTAACTCCTACATTGTACTGGTAGATCATAATGGTATTACTGTAAGATGCAAGTAAGATCATGGGAGATTCAAATGTCTCATTTTATCAAAAAATTGTAGTTAGCTGAATGAATGAAAGGTCACTTTACTGGGACATTTACTGATACATAGCATATGATAAGGGACTCATTTTTACAAATACTATAATGTACCAGTCAAGGTCAGCACTGATCCATTCAATTCCTCGGAAAAGCTTTCAGTTTAGATATGACTGTCATGACGGCTAGTGTAACGGAATCATATTAGAAAGTCATAATGGGTAATCCAGGAACATGTTCATGTTCAACTACATTACAATATCTATCAGAAAATATAATGTGACATACATTTCAATAATATAAGTTTTTGGTTGAAATTAGCTGATGAGAGCGACAAAACTCCCAAACCGTTTGTAATAAGGTGCAGATAGAATCAGAGACCAAGTATTACAAGAGAAACCTACATCTTTTTCTGGAGTTCGACCTGCTTTTCTTTCTTCTCATAGTACTCCATGATCTTCAACCTCTGCTGCTGGACCAGACGGCCCTTTTCGATGTTGAACTCCTCCTCAGCCTTAGCATCGATTTCCTCGGCCTTTTCATTGGCTTCTTGCTCGATGAAGGCCATCATGTGCTTGATCTAGTAACAAACATTCATTATTTGATATATAAAAACAGCTTTCAACAAATACAACATATCTTAGATCCATTTCGACTTCCGAGGCTTTTTGCAACAGAATCGGCAAGTGTCTCATTTTGGATCAATTATTCTGACAAATCCAAGTCGACAGATTTATGCTGCTCATTAATTTCATTAACATACCTGCTTTTGGACATCTGCATCGCTGAGCGCCATGGCTGTAGGTTAATATTTAGCACCACTAACACGAAAAAACAACCGATAAAGAGCCAGAAAACCAAAAACTGGCTCAAAGAAGTAAGTCGACGCCTATCAGACGTGCTTCTTCATTGAACAATCATATGATCCCGGTGTTGCCAAGTAATCCAGATTATTGCGTCGCTCTGTACCATAGACATACTACCAAAGTCGCGTGTCGCAGTCGTAGTGCCATTATTATAATCTAACATATTATGTGGATGTGGAATATAATATTTAATTGCAAAAGCAACTGGTATTGCGGCTTGAGGCCTATGGCCTATGTTTTTGGGCATTGTATTTCAAGCTGCTAATTTGTTAGTCTAGAGATTATTTTGATTATATTTTGATCTGTACTATGTACGAAAGATTGCTTTGTAATCTCTATTTTCTATTTTTTCGTTTCATAGGATTACGCTAAGGTTTAGCAACTTCAGTAAAGGAGGATAATTTATTTTATTAATGTTCATAGTGTTTCAAAGTTCAAGATTCTTTTTAGGTTTTATTATTTAGTGCAAATATATAAAATAAAGTGTAATAATAAACTTGTAACATTAATTAATACTATGATTAATAATTAATTTTATTTATTATTTCAACCGATTGTAATTTTTTTATTGTCATCAGAAACATTTTTTATCTAATTTTTATCTTAAAATCTCTTTTAGAAAGGTACTCTTTGCATAGGCTTGTAGAAATATTTTTTATACTTTTCTGTCTACGTGACTTTGGCATATGATGACGTTTTTTTCCACAAAGTAATTTAATTTTAATAAAAAAATAATGCTCTGCAGTTGTTTGAACAAAAGCTCATTTAAGGATATAACAAGCAAAAACGAGTACGATTTTTTAATTAATTTACTTCATTGATTAGGTATTTATCGAAATATATTTCTATTTCTACCAAAATATAAGATTTTTATTTAGGTGTGGTAATTTTTATGAGTGTTGGCTGCATGAGTCAAATTAAAAACTATTTATTACTTATTATTTTTATTTTTAAAATTACTGTTATGCCGATACTTACAATTAATACCAAAAATAGTAATAAAAATTCTAAAATTCTTTAGCTTTGTATTTTAACACGTGATTTGTGCAGTTAAATTATAAGTTACTAGAGCGAAAATTGTTAGAGTTTTCCGTCCGCTTTCAACAATATGGCCGCCAGTTGTTTAGGGTAATGTGGCGTTCGACAAAACTGAGTGAAATTGTTAAAATATTTATAAGTGACGTAAAGATGTATAAAGTTTTCAGCGTTTTATAGCAGTGTTTCATGCAAAGACGGTCTTGAGCATCTTTTTAGTTCGTCTTAAAATTTTTGAATGCAGATAAATCGTCGTCTAAATTGGACAGTCAACAAACTTTTGTTTATTTCATTGGAGTGGATTTATTTGTTTCTGCTAAGAATACTCGATTATGAACCATTTATGCTGGTATTGAAATAGTGGAACAAGGACTGACGTCGACACATTAGGTAAAAGATTGTATTTTTTTGATGAATCAAGTGTACCAAAAACAGGGGTCGCCATTGTTTGACAGGGGACGAATAACCATAGTAAAATACTGATATAATATCATGTATGATACCTACTTCAGTAAGTTGTTGTTATTAGCCGACGTTATCTCATATTCCTATCTCTGTATTGAATACCTCGATGCGTATTTATGAAATTCGTTTGCTCTCGTTTCATAAATACCTCACAGGTTCGAATTGGAAGTTGAAGTCAACACAAAGTTTTACCGTAAGGTATCGTAAATTTTACTGAAAACTTGTGATTCCTCTACATTTTGTTTTCTGTAAACATTGATAGGCAGTTATTTATTGTGTTTATTTGGTCTTATCTTGTGTAATTGTCTCTAATGTACGCATTTAGTTGTTTGTAACTTACCCTACCTACATTTTGATCCCTAAAATCTGTTAAGCATAAGTCTAAAATAATGAAATCACTTCTATTCAGGGTTTACTTAGTCCAAGTAAATGCCTAACCTAGCCGAATGCAATATACTAATGTCCAACCAAGATATTGGAAAGTTGGTCTTGAAAATATATCAAGTTGGAAGGCTTTTGAAAAAGAATTACATTAGCTCTTTGTATGAAATGTTAGTATTGATGCGAATGTATTTTAATAACTTGTAATTTGTACAATATCTAATAAAAAACTATCAACTAACTTTGTGGGTATGTTTGAAAAATAAATACTTAATAGCCTAATAGACATAATTATTATGAACAGCATTTTATAGACCATAGTTAGTTTTTCATGAGTTAGCATTATATTTTAAGAATAAGCTTCAAGTAGTATAAGTGCTTGTATAATTATTAGAAACTAATGGTTTGTTGTTATGTAGTATGAAAAACAAGTGTAACATCCAGATTAAACAAACCACACTGAAATCAAATAAACTTTTTCAGGTTATGGCAAACTTGAATTTCCAACAAGCACCTAGAAGCCTAGCGAGCGGCGGTGTGGGTGGTCGCGTGAGCTCGGGGCTAGTGGGTGGTGTGTCGGGCCATGTGACGCCCACGTTTGGAGGCGCATTGTCGCCCGGTCGAAATTCCACCGCAATGCCAGGGGGTGCTCCACCCTCTATGGCATCGCGATCAACACTGTTCGGCCAGCGAGCATTTGCTGACCGGAGGGTACCCATACCAAACGCGTTATCGCAGCCTAACTCAAATTCCATGGTGAGAATCTTATTTTGTCTTAAGATACTATTAAAATCTGCTGCCTCATAGGCCGAGTGATCGCAAGTGCGTTTGCTGGGCGTACTGTATTGGATTCAATTCCCAGCTCAGGCAAATTACTACTGGGTTTTAAAATATTAAAACCCCCTATTAAATTACTCATATCGTGAATAGTGAAAAGTGGGTTGCATTGTACAGTGATTAAGTTTAGTGTTATGTGTCATAATGTGCGCCTCTGCCTACCTTGTCAGAGATCTCTTGATATACCATTAAAATCAAAATATTCTAATAAGTGTAATGTGCATAAACATTTTTTTGAAGTACCCACCACATAAAAATTAATTATGAAGTTAACAAGTTTAATAGTAATTATTCAAAGCAGTGTTCTGTTCATTATTTTGTTTTATAATTTCATTGTATTCTAAATCTGTTAGAACAATAATAAATAAATACTGTTAACTACATAGTGCAGCCAATTAATGATGTGAAAATAACCGTTTTAAATTAAAACAATGCTGCAAACGAACAGGATGATGAATTTTAAAAATGTTATTCAAATATCAACACTGCTACTTTGGTTATCAAATGGACCTAGAGAGATTTGTGTCAGTATTTGTATTCAGTTAGTTTCTTGGAAGGTTCAACTCTTTTTGTAATACATTGTTGTTTTGAGCTATATAGTTTTCACAAAGAGGTCAACTCTGATATATGTCAGTCTTTGTACCTCTGTAACTGTTATGTATATATATGTAAAAATGACAAATCGAATTCTTAATAATAATTTATTAGTATGTTACACATACACTTTCATAAAGAACATCATTTATAAGCATCAAATTTTCCTTCTTTTTTGTTTATTTATTTATAATCACAACAGTGTACAGATATTGAGTTGTACAACTCATTCCCAGAAATATATGTACCACAATTTATATATATTATAGAAAAATAAAAAGATAAATTCTCCAGAGAAAAGTATTCTTATCATAAGTATCAAACTTTGATTATTGTTTGGATCTTTGAAAATCCTTTCTCTCTTGGTGTCTTTGATTTGCCAATGCTCTACTCGATTTCATGGCATTTCTGAAGTTCCTGAAATATTCTTTTATATTTGTGTTCTATTGATTACAAACTCTAATTATTTTAACTCAATATGACTTAGGAATCTGTTGTAAACAGCATCCGATCGTATTTACCTCTCCTAAAGGGTAGTTGTCAGAGTCTTTTATCATATGAAAACTATAAGTAAAATAGCTATTTCATTAAATGTTATATTGTTAAACTTTAGCCCTGTCAAATTATAGGTAACTTATTACATTTGCAAATTTCATAGACAATAAATATATTACAAATTATGCTTTTGTTTGTTTTCAGTCGAGTATGGGCAACCTGTCTCGGTTCAACACTAATAGCAACTATCATTCGGTGTTTGGAGAGGGTGGCGACACGTCGACACCTCCTCTCCTGGATCTCAGCGAGTTCCCATCGTTAACAGCGCGAGGGGCCGGCGACCAGGCGCCAGCCGCAGCGCCACCACCGCCCGGCTCTAAACCTTACGGTATTTTATACAGAAACATCTTACTCCCAAAGCCTTAGACATAAACAAAAAACTACCTATTATGATGATTTGTACTATGCTTAAAAATAGTACTTCTTATTTGTGACTCTTTCTAACTAAAGTATAACAACACTTTTAGTAAATAGGTTAAATGCATTGTGAATAGTAACAATACCAGCTCTTGTAGCTCCTTACCTTGATCTTATTGCTGGCATTGTGTGTTCAAAATAAATAATTTATAAGCGGCTATTTGTATAGACATGTATTGTTTGACAGTGGGTATGGTGAAGCAGCCAACGTCGGAGCAGTCAGAGTTCACGATGTCGTCGGAGGACTTCCCGGCGCTTCCCGGCACGTCGAGCGCAGGCGGTGCGGCGCCGCTGCCGCCGCCCGGCCCGCTCCCTCCTCCGCCCGACTTCAGCAACCACACCAACGACAAGCCTCGGAAGGGCATACAGACCTCTCCCGATGGTAAATATCCCACACTCCATGATCTACTAACAACCTTTTCATATTTCTAACAAATTAATCACCCAGTTGGATTGTTTTGGTTATTCATTCAAACTAATTCTGTAATTTATAACAAATATTGTGCTTCTGTCTCATTGCACAATTTTTTAAATAAGTATATAACACTAACTAATCCTCGTTTTGTGTTTAATGTTAATTAATGCATGCAATGTTTAAGTATAGTAATCAAAATATTCTGGTATTGAACTTAGATAGTAAATTAAACTGGATTTGCACCTGATCTGTAATTTTTTTGTCCCTAAAGTTATCAGTCAAGGAGCCCATACGGAATTCTATGGTGTGTATACTAAATAAGCACTGGAAATATATTAAAATGCTTTGTTTGTTATATTGCAAGTAGTTTAATGTATAGACCAGAAATTCCATTAAAAATTGCATGCAATTGTCGGCTGATGGTATAATAATGTGTTATGTTTTAGGTAAAGTAACGAATATACCAGAGACAATGATACCAAACCAGTTTGGTATTGTGGGACTATTGACGTTTATCCGCGCGGCGGAGTCAGACCCTAGTTTAGTGTCGCTGGCATTAGGGCAAGATCTCACGGCGCTCGGATTGAATCTAAATTCACCAGATAATCTTTATCTCACCTTTGCTGGCCCTTGGGCGGATACGCCGTGCAGGTAATTTCTATTATTGAAAACATGTTTTATGCTTATTATAGTCTCATCTACCATGCATCAGTATAGGCCCCAAGGTCTAGTATCTTTTTGTTGTTATTCAAACTGATATACAAATTGGAATGTTTGTTATTTGTTTCAGACCACAGGATATGGACTACCATGTGCCTCCCGAATATCTAATCAATGGTTCAATTAGAGAAAAGTTGGCGCCTCTACGACTGAATCGATATAAGGAAGACCTTTTATTTTATTTGTTCTACTGTTTCGTGGGTGATGTGCTGCAAATCGCAGCTGCAGCCGAACTGTAAGTCTTGGCATATGAAAGAGATACTCTTTCAATAGTTGTTAAATCTGTTAACTCTCAGTTTGACTACATAAATGGGTACCCAAGTGACTACATAAATGGGTAGTAAATACTCACCCAGTTTGATTGACATGTGGATCAGTGTGGCATACCCTGTATACCCAGAAGAGTTTGACACAGCTGCAGGTTAACTGGTCTTTTCTATGTCTTAAAACACTGTAATAGTGATTTTCAAAAAGTACATAATACTAATATAGACTAAATGTAATGTGATAACGGCACACACGCCACTAACGTCAATCGTTTTGACTTGTTCAAAAACGCTCTGACGATCGGCAGATGGAGCGACGGTCATCCAACTGGCCAGCCGTCCCTGGCCAGTGACGGGTAGCAGCGTCGCCGCCACTAGAGAAGTAGCTCGCCAAGCATCATCGACCTACAAAATTGTATTTTTGACCTGTGGTTTCACCCAAGAGTACTATCAACTTATTTCAAAATTAGTTCCTATTTTGAAATAATAGGATGCGGATATTATTCAACTGCATTTAGTCTGAAATTATAATCGATTTTTATTTCACAATTTTTAATCTACGTACCTAGATAATTTGCTAAACTGATTACGAGTTTTAATTAACTGATGTCTAAACATATTTGTTTTAGCTATAATCGCGAATGGCGGTATCACATGGAGGAAAAGGTGTGGATCTCTCAAGCGCCCGGTATGCCTATGGTAGAAAAGACGTCAACGTACGAGCGCGGCACCTACTACTTCTTCGATGCGCACAACTGGCGTAAGGTACTATTGCCGTTTTTAGATTTACGCCGTTATATTTTGCATGTGAAATGAAGCATACAAGTAATTGCATGAATTGTAAAGACGCACATTTCAATTAAAACGATTTGTGAAGCTAATCTTGTAGAGATGTCTAATGTAATGAATGTGTTGTTTGTTGGTAGGTGGCGAAGGAATTCCACTTGGACTACAGCAAGTTGGAGGGGCGACCGCAACTGCCACCGCACGTGCTTACGTAGCGTTCCCGCCGCGTCCTCTCTCATACACCTATTGTAGTTTTGTTATATAAAAAGTACAAGTTTAAAAAAAGATATACTCTTTTATTTTTTGCAACAGTACATAGTGCCCAGTAGTTAGGTAAAATGTGAATTGAAAGGATGCATTACTATTACATATGATCAAATTCTTGCAATTACAGTATACTATACTGTGCTGTAGTAGAGAGTAGAGGTCGTAAAAATGTACGCAAGTGAGATCTCATGTCATGTAGCTGTTAGCTGTCTTACAGAAGGCGATCTTATTTATGCACCATGAGAAAATTCGGTGTTGAATTGTTTTATGAGTATTTTTAACTACAACTTAACTTATCAAACCTGAGACTCATTAATGACATATTTAATCAACCAAGCAGTATTTTATGTTAGGGTTAGAAGTATCGATGATAAATTGGGAAATGTTCAGCAGTTACATTTTCAAAATTGTAGCCTGAAACATTTGGATACTGTTACTAAAATGCCAGCGCCAGACATTTGTGCACTTATTTGCTCATTGTGTGGCATAGACAAAGTGGCATCGAATGTCCGTGCCACACATTATTAAAAATGCTAACTGCAAGCAGGTATCAATAGTGGCTTAAGCTGTTTGATCTGCAAGAGCAGCCCCTGTATGGCAAGCCTTATGCGAACAAACAAGAGCACACATTTGTAGTAGGTATCAATCAATCAATCAACAGCCTATATTGGCCACTGCTGACCAAAGGCCTCATCCCGTATGGAGGTTTAAGCATTAACCACGCTTGTTCAATACGGCTAGGTTTCTTTATGATAATAATAATTTCCTTCACCATTTGTGGTGTCTAAATAATCTTTGAAAGTACATATCACTCGAAAAAGGTCACATTAATACTTGCGGTAGGTTGCAAACCCGCACTCTCATTCATGGAAAGCGATCGTCACTAAACTGCGATGCGACGTCGCATCGCAAAAATGTGCGAGCTCTACGCATCGCAACGAACTTACGAAATCCTATCTTCCTAAAATCTTCTTTGAGTCTTTTTCCTGTATCTTCTAAGCAATAACAAAAGTGCACACTTCTTTTTACGATTTAAGTCATTTGACCAAAGAGTAGGTATAATAAGTATAGGGGATTGACGGTCGTCGGAAGGAATGGTCAGCTGGGAGACGCCTTATCGCATCGCAGTTTTGTGTACGAGCCCTTAAGGCCTTAAACCTTCACGCCACCACGACTCTTTGGTGCCAACAAGGTGATGATAATACTCAACATGAGATTACTTAAATAAAACAATTTTTGAGATATACAACATGTATTGATGAAAATCTCATGGGGTGAAAATGCTGTTAAGAAAATACTTATCAAATGACAAAACAATAAATGAACAGCACAGGGATTTCACATTAATCTTAGCATGAAAGTGGCACTTAACAAAACATTTCATTCTTTGAGATACCAACACAAGTATTATGCATTGTCTTGAATCACTTACAATTTGAAAATACAAAATTAATAGTATATAACTTAATCTATCTTGTCCATATATCATGAATTTGCCTAAATTGTGGATTTAGCACTTCATGGAACTTCTGCAGACTTAAGCCTAAATATGAACTGGCTGTGATTATGTCTCAGTCCACATCGTCTGTGCTGTCTGAGGTGGTGGGAGCTTCAGCAGCAGCTTGTGAAGAACTTGGAGTATTTTCCTTCATGGTTGGCTCATCATCACTTGTCTTGCCAGGCACCCAGAGTCCAGCATCCACACACCTCTTCATGTAGTATATGGCTTCTTGCTCTGGCATTTTAGCAATTGTTGCTTGGAGCAATGGCACATCTTGGGCATCGAAGCATTTCTTTAATTCCTGAAATAGCAATTAGCAACAGATACATATAGTGCATGCATACAGTCAGTCAAAATACAATACAATCCTTTGAATTATCATTAGAAAACCATTCAAGATGATAGTAATAGGAACAAATCTTAAAGAATTAGACACTTGTAAGGGCAACTAGTCAATAATCCCTGTAAGTATGCTAGTACTTCAAACTCATATTTGGGTTCCAATGTAAAATGTACTCCATGTGTCATAATTTATTAAAATTTACTTACATCAGGTAACTCTTCATACACTTCAACAGGGTCCAGCCCTCCAGGTCCTAACCTGGCTTTGCGTTCCTCCTCCTCTTGCTCTCTGATGGCTTCACTAATCTTCTCCGCAGCACGCTTCTTGATCCTCGCTTTGAACTGCTCGAGTTCATCATCAAATGAGTCTTTGTATGTCTTTTCAGCAATTTGGATCCTGTATTACAAAGCAAATATTTAGAGAATGCGGTCTGTGTTGAAATTATCTCCTACGTTAATAAAATTGTGTTTACTTTGAGAAGAATGAGCTGACACAGGCCCTGGGGTCCACATCCAATTGCTTTGACAACTCCAATATGTACTGCATGCAGATGGTTTGGTGAGCAACATGGGCCATCAAATCATGTTTCTGTGAACAATATGATGTTGAGTATAATTTACTCCCATTCATAATTCAATTATGTTGTAGTGCATGAAGACAATAAAAACACCTTTTTATAATTATTGTAGGATACTAACCTCTTCCATTTCTAAGTTAATGCACCAGATAACCAAATAGTTGGCAGTCTCCTCGCACACTAGCTGGCTGTGCTCCTGTAGGAATTGTCTTGAGTCGTCGTAGCGCCGCAACATACCGAACTGTTTTAGAAGCTTCTCATTTTCTTTGATAAACTTCTTCATCTTGGCCTCCTTTTCCTCTTCAGTCAAGTTCTCGTCTTTAGGCCTGGTGGGCTTGGTGTTGATGACAGTTTTAGTAAACCCAGGCTCACTGATTGTGTCCACATTCCAAGGAGTCTGCCGTTCCTTTTTCTTGATTTCATCATCTTTTTGTTGCAACCTCTTTTCTTCTTTTTCGAGATCAGCTAAAGCCTTCTTCAAAGATTCAAGATCAGGACTGTCGGGACTAGCTTCACTGATTTTCTTTTTTGTTTCGTTTAGCATCCGCAAGTTTTCGGTCTTCTTTTGAATATGTTCGTCTCTCTCTTTGCGTCGCTCTTCCATACGCTCGACTCGTGCTTGGTGCCGCCATCTAAACAGCGAGGGTGTATCGATGTTAGGGTGGGTCTCGTCTTCATCATCAGATATCTAAAATCAAATTGACAAATCCAGGTTAACGTGGGAGTATAAACAACAGAGCCAACCAAATTTGAATAGTTTACACTAAGTACTTACTTCTATATCCTTCCATTTACTGTAGTCGACCATTTTGAGTTTATTTCACGACTTTCACTAACAAATCAGATGACTCAAGTTTCTGTTGTCCAGACAGGAAAAATGTATTACTTCGAGAAACAGTAAAAAGTCCGGAAAATTCTCTCAATACATAACGCTTACAACAGATAACAAATAGAAACGTCACGTCATATCAACAGCCCAAACCAAAGACAAAATTATTAAATTAAAATCCATAGACAAAATACTTTGTACTTAGTTCAAGTGAGTTCGGAAAGATGGCAGAATTTCTGAAGAAATTTTAGTTTCTTCCAATAAAAAAAATGAATAGTTTTCCGTATAAGTTGATGCATCTATCGGAAGCTAAATAGTATTCTAAACTGGAACTTATTTGTTGATTCAGTCGTTTACCATGAATTATAAAAGATATAAAGCTAGATAGATGTGAACTGAAGTACCTATAGTAAGTTAGGTATACTCACTTAGTTTTAAACAAGTAAAAGTCCTCCAAAAATAATTTATTATACATAATTTGTGAGTACTACTACACATTCAGAACAAAATTCTTAGCACTAGATAAGAAACTGACTTCATTTTATTACCCACCTATCCTAATGGGTACTAATATACCTAAACTTACATGATGAAATAATATTAGGTAATGTATAAGTATTCCTAAACTAGGATGTTAATTCTTTTTCTTTTTCTTGGCGAGTGTGGTAAGGATCGTAGTCATAAATGTGGTAGTGGTGGTCAGCGCTTCAGTAGTAGCACTCGTGATGTTCAGCGGTGCGTCCTCTTCATCATCTTGGCTCTGTGACTCGTCAGGAATACTGATTTGGAACTGCAGCAACACTACGAGGTATGTCACCATAGTAGCCAGTAACTGTTAAAAAAGAATATTTTGTAAAACATAGCTAATAGAAGAAGAGTATGTATATAACTACCTATTCTATTTATTTTAGCGTGGCGTGAGGCTACCGAGGCCTACTTGCTTAACTTTCCAAAGGTCCGACATCGCGCTTGGTACTTTACGGTTGTGTAACTGTACGGCAACGAGCGAAACTGATCGCTTACCATCATGGTGATCCGTCCGCCCGTATCTCATCTTATCCTAATCCTATCAAAACTAACCAAAGAAACAATAATTACTCAGTTAGCGCAGTGACTGGTCAGTTTCCTGCTGTGACCCGTGTTACTAATTCCGCACGAAAACATTTTTGTGTGATTCACGGAATGGTGTTTCAAGTCAGGGGTAAAGTGCACTTGTGCATGTAAAATTATCTGTTTGTAAATGCACACATGATACAGAAGACAATATTTTACTACCTACATACGGATTATGTAGGGGGTGGTTTAAAAAAACGATTTAAACGAGCTGCACGGTTGGTGCGGTGGTTGGGCAACCGGCTGCCGCGCAACGTGTCGCGAATTCGATTACCACACGGAACAACTCTTTGAGTGATCCTCAAATTGTTGTTTCGGGTCTGGGTGTCATGTGTATTTGAATTTGTATGTTTGTTAACGCACCCACGACACAGGAGAAAATCGTAGTGTAGGGCACGTTAAAAACAAACAAATAGGAATTTAAGTAAATAAATTAGTAACAACTAACAAGGGCGACTGAATAGACTACAAGTGCAAGTTACAAGGCTCTAAAGATTGTTGGCCTGTGCCCTTTGTGTACTTGAACGTTGTCAATGTGAGACTTGTTTGCATAATAAATTATCGACATGGCACTGTGTTGACTTCTTCATAAAATTGCTTCAATAGAAGCTTAATTTTTGTAAAATCTATACTGATATTGTTTCATTGTAAATACGTGACTTAAAAAATACATATTCCACAATCAAATAGCTCTATTGGTGAATACATACTGATTTAAATAAAGTTCGATTGACGTTAAAGAATCCTCCCAGACTGATCTGTGAGGGGTTCATCTCCGTGGCTCTCAGGAACATGTTGACTTCAGTTTGGGCGTCAGTGTTCATCCACGATAACTCCACCATCAGTAACTTCTTTTGAAAGTTGGTTCGGACCTATGACCATATGGAAAATTGCATATTGAAATGCCAGTTAAAAGTATGTTTTGCGTATAGTGTTAAATAAGTATACACGGTACAAACAGCCTTCTCCAATTTTAGATAGTTTTGAAATCTTATTGTTTTCCATAAACCTTGGAAGAGTAGTAATAGTATCTACTGTTTTTCGTTTTATTAAAGTCGGCAATCAAAGAAAACAGATCAAAAGACGTTGACCTATTGGTGCCAGTGCGATGTTTGTCATGATTACAATTCCAGGTACTAACATTGTGCGAAGCGTAGTGAGCTTCGTCGCAAATGAAGAACAGGAGAAAGATGCCGTAGATTGCAGTCAGGGCCAGCCCAATGTCCTTGATACCAAAGCCTTCAGAGATTTGACTGAGCAGTCCGTAGATAGAGAGAGTAATAATCAGAAAGAGATAGAGGTTGACGAAGGTGAACGTGTAGCAGTTTGCAATGCCCGTGTCTCGGGACAGTTTGCTTAGACGCAGCCATAGAGCACGGTATTCAGCTACTCTGCCTGCTGGACCTATGTGTCGAAGGGCCTGAAAGGAAGATAACAGTGTAATTATAGAAAACACTTAAATGTTCATCTATATTATGAGAAACGGTTCTTCATTAAAGACTAACTGGTAATTTACAGAAACAATAAAGAAAGATCAACTCTTTAATCGCAAAAGAAATAATATTAAAGAAACAGAACGTTTTTCTTTAGTCGTTAAGTATAATGAGTAATTACTTTATGAATTTTAACTTACGCTTTGAAAATCTTCAGCCAGGATATTGGCACAAATACTAAGGGTCTCGCAGAGTAAATACCAGTAGCCTCCGAGCATATATGTCAAAATCTCTAGGAACACGTAGGGCACCAGCTGCATCGGTTTGAAGTGCACCATCGTGATGTGAGTCACAATCACTGTCGTAGTCGATAGGATCGGTATGATAATGGCTATCGCTAGAGCTTTCTTGTATAATTTCACTGGCAGTGTCCGGCCTGATAGCTGTTTGTATACCACCTGTAATTATGCACATTATTGTAGGTAATCGTGATCGAAATATTTTGAATTATCCTTTCTCGTAAGTAAAATAGTACTACGTAGCTCTTAACCTAAGGTGTGAAAAAATATACCAAATGGTTACCATTCTCGTGTTTAATAATATTAAGTACAATTTTTTTATTGAAATCATACCTCGAATTCCACCCAACCGTTGAGAACGTCAGCAATCTTCCTAGTTTCGTACCACAATATCGGGACTGCAATCATCGGGAACAAGTACACTGTGAACAGGTATTCAATCACGGCTTCCTCGAACTTGCCCTCCGCTGTGCGTAGGATCTGGACTTTGTGGAGTGACAGGTACAGCACGTAGCTGACCAGCGAACAGAACACAAGAACGGAATACAACATCGAAGCCGACGCTATCTGAAATTGATTGATGCAAGAAGCAGGCCTCGTAATGGGCAGCACTCCCATTATTCTCAATACCGTAAACACTGGCTTAATATTCTCATAAATAATATCGTTAGATATATGCGGCTCCACGAGATTGTTTCTCATCGGCGCCACAGCATTTGGAGAAATTGGTTTCACCGGCGTTCGTACTGGTGTAGCGTCCAGGAAAATTATCTTATTTTTCGGCTTCTCGTCTATCTGAACAGGAAACCCATTCGGTATGGGCACAGTCGTTGGGAATAAACTGTTACTCGTATAGAACGACATTTCTGAGGCCTATCTTAGGAGTTTATGACCGTCCTTTGAATGCTGATGTCGTACACTGACTGAATGTAGTTTTTACTTCACGAGGAAGCTTAACGAGGCGCACGGTGGCGGTACATCATCATATTTCAAAGGTTGACAACTTGATTGTGGCTACGTAAGCACTGAGTCGACCTTGTATTAAAATTTCAGTGGCTGCGTCACCTTGAGCGAGACCTTCATTAGGTTACACTCGGTTTGACAACATGTCGACTGTTACCTCCTGCAGGTATATGGTGCATGTAGGCGCGTACCGGGCCGTGCCTCGTTAGTTTCCTATGAGACGTAAAACTCAAACAATTGAACTTGACCATACGACCTTCTGTTTCACGGACGTGCCAATTTAAGTTAATTTTTAATGGTCGTAGTAAACTTCCGCTTTGTATTTGTGCCATTGACATTGTAATAAATAATAACCTACAGTGACTGAGGGCACTCTAGTCTATACGATGATTAAGAAAGCATTAAGTTGACATGCATGCATTCAACTAATTTGCAAATCCTTAAAAAGAGCAAAGTGATAAATGTCATAAAATCTACGTTCGTAATTCACAATCATGTCATTAGTATTAAAATATTCTCGCTGACAATCCTAAAGGGTTAATAACGTTTATCAATCTTAGAAAATGAAGGGAGATTTCCCCATCAGTGTATCTGAGCCAATTTACCTAATCCTCGATTAACCCGGTCGCGATGCAGCTAAATTTGATTGTGAGCGGCTTAAGAAACCCCTGCGGCCAACCTTTCTTCATGATTGCTCTCTAAGGACCGGACCTATATCTCGAGGATGCCGTCTACAAACAGACCTCTATGTTTATTGGGTAGCTTTATGTTGGATTACATGAAATAAGGCGGGACTCAAGAATTACGACTGTGATAGTCGCTACACTGAGGATTTATCCAAATGTTGATCATTCATGTAATTTTGTTTTTACGACCATTCCTTTATATTTCATTCGATAAAAGTACCCGTGACGGTTTACTTAGCTTAATTGAATAAAATAGTGCAAGGTAAATAAATTTTTACGACATTTTTGGTCCATCAAATCCCTCGATTTACGTTTAGGTCGAAGGTGTAATATCACAAGAGTTATTCGCTTACCTTACTCGATTTTGCTTTGCGTAAGGAAAAGTACCTTCGTAAATTTCCTCGGTTGTAATAAAGAGCGATGCGACGGAGGCTGGCATATTGAAATCTCAGCAACTCTTGGCGCTTCGAGTAGTCCCCGTCAGTCACACGCGCTCTCAGGTTTGATCCTCCATCCTCCCGCCATTGATGAGTAGGTAATATCCCTCCGTATGATTTATATCCACAGATATTTAGTGTTGGTTGTATGAAAACAATGACTGACCCGCCCTTTGTATCAAATTCGCAAACTTGTTTTGTTTGGGTTTTGTATTAAACTATTTTTTCTTTCAAAAAGTTTCAGTTACCCTTTCTGTTTTCGCTTTTTGGTTAAAATTGAAAGACTGTTGTTTTTGCTATGAAAGGATATTTATAATTAGTTTGTGTATAGTTGTGAATAGTGGCATTGCTCAGCAGAAAATTAAACTAATTTTGTGTAATAATGTTTGTCAATAGACTTAATAGACCTTTCCTACGTTGTTGTACTGTTGTAGCTATCTAAAGGTATCTTCCATATTTCTGAGAAAAAAAAAAAATAAACCAATCAATCATCAAGTCCGTCGATAAAATCAAAAGGCAAAATGATTTCGACATCATTTCTTTCAGTGTATGCAGCACAATAAAATGAAGTATATTACACAACTAGCTGTGCCCGCGACTTCGTTCGCGTGGTTGTCGAAAACAAAACAACATCGTTTAGATAACAGTGGGCTATATACATATGAACTCCACTCAAGAAGATGGTATAGTATTTTTTTTGCCAATAAAGATCCTGACTATAGTATATTTTTATTTGGTAATATTGGTATCTAGTTGATTACGTTGATGCGTCCCTATAATAGATTAGCGGTTGAACCACCCGGAGCATTGTACAAAAAAGTTTTTGTTTTTTTTTCTTTGAGGCATTTTTAAGGAAAATATCAAAGCAATATACAAAACCGACAAAATTTTAAAGATCGGTGTGTCAAACAGTCTCGTGTGATAGCAAATCGTCTGTTCGTGGTCACGACTTAACGAATTCGTTACACTCACTGTAAAAATTGGCACTATTCAAACTCAGAAGTAAATACTTCTACTTTAGGGATGATGTACGTATTTACTGGTACAGGTATAAGTACCTAGTTTGAACTTACCAGTACGCATACTGGGTATGTAAGCAGAAACCCGGTCCCTATTCGTTCCGTTCGTATTCATGACTTTTGATCTCGTGTAAAATGCCGACATCGTCTAGAGTCTAGACAGTAACGCATCGGCCAGGGTTGTCAAAAATATGGCACCGACTAAAAGTCGGTCGGTTATAATCCACATAGGAGCAAAGTTCTAATCAATACAAATTATACAAATCCAAACACAATGTAGTTACGTGAAAACGACACCCATGACGATGAATTGAAAATTTGGATTTAGATTCTGACTGCACCATCATTTTCACCGCCCTCAAAAACCATGAAAACGATACCCATGATGATAAATTAAAAATTTCGGGCAGCGGCCATCTTGGATTGGCATTATGACAACACCATCATTTTCACCACCCTCGAAAACCATGAAAACGACACCCATGACGATGAATTGAAAACTTCATGCAGCCGCCATCTTGGATTTAGATTCTGACTGCACCATCATTTTCACCGCCCTCAAAAACCATGAAAACGATACCCATGATGATAAATTAAAAATTTCGGGCAGCGGCCATCTTGGATTGGCATTATGACAACACCATCACTTTCACCACCCTCAAAAACCATGAAAACGACACCCATGACGATGAATTGAAAATTTCATGCAGCCGCCATCTTGGATTTAGATTCTGACAGCGCCATCATTTTCACCGCCCTCAAAAACCGTGAAAACGATACCCATGATGATAAAATAAAAATTTCGGGGAGCGGCCATGTTGGATTGCCATTCTGACAACACCATCATTTTCACCACCCTCGAAAACCATGAAAACGACACCCATGACGATTAATGAAAAATTTCGTGCAGCCGCCATCTTGGATTTATATTTTACAGCACCAACGGTTTTATCACCCTCGAGCGCGGAGGCACGTCGCTGGGGCGCAACTCCGCTGCCGCGCCAGATAAGTGAAGAATGGCAGCAACGACTGTCACAACCGAGGGCTGGTCTTGCTGCCATTGCAGCGGTAAGTCCCCTCTTTGAGGAGTGGCTTGAGAGATGCTACGGCGCCCTCACCTACCACCTGACGCAGGTCCTCACCGGACATGGAAGTTTCGGGAGGTACCTGTGTCTGATTGGGCAGGAGGAAACGCCCGGGTGTCATCACTGCGAGGACCGCCCTGAGGACACGGTGGAACACACTGTAGTGGAATCCCCTGCGTGGGCTGAGCACCGCCGTGCCCTCAGTGAAGTGATCGGCATTATCGAGCTCTCGCGTCCGGGCCTAGTGCAGGCCATGATGTGGAGCGAGGGGGACTGGGATGCCATCTCCTCCTTTTGCGAAGCAGTCATGCTAGCTAAGGAGGAGGCGGGACGCGTGAGGTAGCGAAGCGTTGCCTCCTCGCAACCCAGCCACCGCGAAGGACACACCGGGCGTCGGGGATCGCGGGACGATCTCCGGCCACCGTAAGCGCGGGCCTGCGGACGGCGAGCATGGGTGGCTCCCCGTCCGACCAGAAACAGACCCGAGCGTACGGCGCGTCGCGTTCCGCGCGCGCTTCAAAGAGCCATCAGACCACCACAGATGGGGCCCAACAGGGCCGATGCAGATTCGGAGTCGCGGAGAACCTAACGGGTAACCGGGGCTCCGGCTCGACGTGCAAGAGTAGGAATTGGGTGGTTTTTAGTCAGTAAGAGTCTGACACTCCCTCCCGCCTCACTCAGGCGGGAGCAGTCATTCGATGATTTTCCCCCCTTAAAAAAGGGCCAGATTTCAAAATACCTATAGCCTATTCTACTTGTTTAAAATATTTAGTAGTATCTTTACTTCGGACTTCAAACCAATGATCAAACGAAACCTATTTTCCAAAGGACTCGTTTCGAGTACTATACTGAATTGCGTGTTGTAATGTTTTACTTCTTGAACTCACTAAATTAATCATATCTTCTGATAGAGTGAACCGATTTCGATCAAACAAAAACTAAGTTATACCTCAAGCTGCGTAGAATTTTTGTATATAAGCATTGTCTGGTTTGAATTCGTAGATTTTACGTGATGCGCGCACAAACAAACAGACAAACAGACAAACAGACAACAATTTCAAAAATGATGGAAATGGGTTCTGTTGGTTATCTTTTAACACGCTGGCTATTTTTTTTTTCAATTTCTTCAATGTACAAAAATTACTTTTCTACAGATTTATTATATGTATAGATATTCTTTTCTAACACAGAAGCCATAAAAGTAATACAAATGTATCATAGAGGTAATCAAGAAGAAGTACCTAAACTTATGTTATTTAAATCACGACAACCACGTAGCAACAAAATGAATTACAGAATGATTCCCGTCACTATGTTATTTATAAGTTTGTTGGAACAACGTGCCGACGTCAGCGGCCAAAATCTTTGTGCCCCAAAAGTTATGGGCAATGTAATATCAAAACTTTATAACAGGCCCCATGAATGACGTGAAGATATTACGCCATGCAACTTTGTTTGTCTTCATTTGTTTGTGGTACGAAAAAACAAAATGGATTTCTTTTTGTGGAGTATTTTGTTCACTCAGCCAATCTGATGTGATGTGTACCTTATTCTTTATGTGCTATTTTTGTTAAATATTCACGTATGTAAAATATACCATTCTACCATCTACCATTCAGTGTCTTGTAAGTTTCGTTTCAATTTTTTTTTTCATTATATATTGTACTTTTGGTA